TTAGTTGGAAAAACACAATTAAATCTAATTAAAACTGTTAATCAAATTAACTCTTCTTCTTGTATTAAGAAGGAAACACTTAGATTTTAAAAGAAAGAAAATGAAATACTCTAAGAGATGTTATCTCTTCAATTGTCATCAACTAAAGACAAGGTTTATTAGTTTGGGTTCGGTTTAAATACTGTGGATTGGTCGTTACAAAGATTTGAATCAAATGACCCAATTGGTCAATATTTGGGTTTGGTTATTTTTGGCGGTTGAAAGTGTTGTTTGTGTGTGTGTACGTGAGAGAGATGAGAGGAGATGAAGAGAGAGAAGATAAGATGAGAGAGAGTAACGTGAGTGACAGTTTGGGGCACAAAAGAAAAGAGTAAAGGAAATGGTAAAACTTGGTTTACCCTTTGTCGGTCAACTAATGGACAGGGATGGTCATTAGTTGATCCATCATCTCAATAATTATTGATAATAATGATAATAATAATAATATAAAGTAATGGTTAGCATAGAAAGAAAGAGATGAAAGTAATTAAGAAAAAATGATTAACTTAATTGTTGGGAATCGACCAAATGTTAAGGCTCATATCTCAGAGACTAATCAACTTAGATTAATGATTAGTATATTGGTCGATTCAATGTTTAATGAGCTTTCTAATGATACCCTATTCGAATCTTAATTGTAATGATTTCATCAAAATTATCATGTGTGCGAAAAGTTTACTTGGAGCTAAATCATTAGTGAAAATTAGATGTTTTTGGTTAATTGCTCGAGAACCAAATGATCAATCAATTATCTTTATATATGAATCGATCACAATTAATGAGCTCTACAAGATGATATCATTATAATCAGTGAAAAACTAATGGGCGCGAAAAAATGGCGACAAACTAATGAGTTCCCATGTTAAGTAAATGGGAGAAAATCGAAAAGTTAAAAACGTTTAAATTAATATAATAAACGATTAAATTGTTAATAATTAAGCTTAAATAAGCGCGAATTAAGCTTATATAACCAACAAATCAGATGATTGATTTTGTTTAATATTTGAAATGAAAAATTGGATGAAACAAAAAAAAATTAGGTTAATGTCAATGATTTTGACAATTAAATGATAATATGTAATACTTACTATTAGATTGTTTTGAAAATTTACTCGATTTTGAAAAGTTTATGGTCTAATATTGAACTGTAGATTAGTGAATGAACCAAAGTTACTTTATCTGATTAGGTTATCATGTAAGAGATTCATGACATTTCATGATATATTAGTTAAATGGTCAAATACAGAAACGTAATAAAAATAAATTACTCTGGATGTTAAAATAAATTCATTCTAATTTCTTGTTGTGTATTTGAACATTGAGATAGAAATTGAGAGATGGAAATGATTCAAAGTGATTAATGTTCATGCTAATGAATCATTTATCATGGAATCCACTTTATAAATAATTAAATGATGAGAGGAACAATAATTTATTCCAGTTTTCTATCAACTTAATTTAGTATTACATTCAGAATCATGATTATTATTGATGTCAAATGATGATTAAAATGATTCAATCAATGAGATTACAAATGATTGTATCCAGTTTGATATCAAATAGCAAATAAATCAATCGGAAAAACCTTTTGTAGTAATAAAAAAAAAGTTGCAATAATCAGCATCAAACTATTATTATTATCATGAATCAATCAATTATCTTGATTATCATGAAAACTGATGATATTAATTAACAAACTAATCCGGTTAAGTGTAAACCCCACTAAGGATTAAATTGATTTGTTACTCTGATAGAATCAATTGATTATAACTGTAAAAAGATAACAATACAAAATTGATCAATGAAACAAATCATTTGGATCAATAATCTAATCACGATATCATTAAATTGTAACATTTTTTAATAACCATAATCAAAGTTGTTTAATCTATTATGTAAAGGTTAATTATGGTTTACAATCAATTTAACCGTTAAGTTAATCAACTGAACGAGAAATTAAAAAACTCATATTAACAGGCTGCTAATTATTAATATCATTTTAATCATCTGGTAGGTGATTACTGATCATTAATTAAATTGCTAATAATAATAAGCGAGTGATTTAGCCAATCAATTAACGGTAATATCATTTTAATGATAATTTTTTAAAAGGTTGCAAGGTTAACTTTGATTGAATTTAGAAAGTGAATTAATAAATTATAAGCTCAGTTTATCGGTTAATCTTTTTGGCTTGTTAATCAATCAGGCAAATGAATCAGGAAGTGTTCAGAACTTTCATCAGAACTTATAACATTATATTAAATGTTAATGTCTTTGGGAGAAATATGAATTATCGCCAAAATTTTCCCGATAGAAAATATTAAATGCAAACTGATTAAAAAGCTATTGTTTCATTTGATATTAGTTTTTCAAGTTCTAATAACTTGAATCAGACTATTAAACTTTGGCATCGAATTAAAGTTTTACGAATTTTTTTTTCTGCCAACCAAAGCTTAAAATGGTTTATCAGATTATTATCATTTTTTTATATTCTCGTTGAGGTTATTGTGGAAAGAAAAAAATTGAAATAAGTTCAAATGATATTATTATTATTATTAATACATGATGATGTTCATGGTGATGATGAGGAGGAGGAGTGGGAGGAAAAGATGAAAACTGCTGATAAAATAATAAGATGAGCTATTTAAATATAATGATGATTATAACAAGAAGTTTATATTAGGCTAAGTGCCAAGTATAATAATGTCTCTGTCGATATTGAATATAAACTTGAACTTTTCTAACTTTCAAGATAAGAGATTGAGAGAGAAATATTATCATCATCATGTTAGAAAACAATAGTAAATGAATAGTATTCAAGTTTTAAAGTGATAGAAGATGAAATTCTCAATTCTATTGTGACAGGAAGTTGAATATTTCTATGGTAATGGTTACACTTTTTGCTAGAACAATTTAATCGGCTGGTCAGTTTTGTTGGAGAAAAAAAGTTCACTCCTGAATTTATGGAGTAGAAATGAAATATTCTGAGATTAGAATTTGACTCGATTGTACTTTTGTATTAATAGAATACAAAAAGAATCTATTTCGATATTGATACACTTTTTCTCGATAGACAAAATCTCATTGGAAATATGAGAACTTTTTTCTTCTATTCTCTTTCATGGTTAATCATGAGAAAATGAGAATACCTCATGAGGGTCATGATAAAGATGATTACAGAAAGTCGGAAGTTGTTTGTGTCTTAAAAGAAAAATAATAATCCCAATGTTCAATAATCAAGGTAAAGGGAAAATGGATGAATTTCTATCGGTTTGTCATGAAAATTATCGTCAACATGATGAATTTCATGGTAAATGTAAGTATCCTTATAATAGTTACACAGAGACAAAAAGTGATTACATCTTTTTCCCCTGTAAAAAGTAATATGAGAGTATTTTTGTTCCCAGAAACCAATTTCCGTTTCCTATCCTGTTGCTTTTATCAGTTTTCCTCCATCCCTTTTGATTATTATTACAACTCCAAGAATACATGAAGAAAAAAAAAAGTTCTGATATGAATCAAAACGATTATGATTATAATGTATTCTAAAAATAATATGATAATTTGTCAACTAATTATTACAATTGAACAAAAAGACAAACAATCTAATCAAAGGTAAATTATTTTCGAGTTGATCAATATTTCAATTACCGTTTGAAAAGCTTAACCATGGATTCTGAGGATTAATCGGTCCAATGAAATACTTTGCGATTTATCTGTAAATATAATCACATGGTGATAATGATGATACATCATCATTTCCATCATCCATTGACTTTAATCATAATTTGATTGTTTTTCTTCATTCAGGTTTACACATATTTTAATCTCAATTTTCTCATCATCTATTTTTCCTTCCGCATCATTTACCAGCATCATCATCATCAAGATGATGGTGATGATGAGAACCGTCTATTGTTCATCTTTTTTTTGCTTGCGAAATTTTCATTCAAAGTTGATAGTCACCAAGAATTCAGAGTAAATCCTTAATGAGTGTTAATCCTTTGACTTGATCAATTTTTTTCCCTTCTCAAGTCAAATAACAACGGTAATAAAACTATTGATGGTCAAGAAGTTTTCGGATAAAGATTAAATTGATAGAAGAAAAAAAAAGATGATGACTATGATATAATTCATATTCATCTACACATCTTATGATTCATATCATGAATTACAAGAATTTCCTGTGACCCATTATAAGATGTATGAGAAAAGAGGATAAAGTTCAAATCACCTGTAGATTCTGATGAAAAGATTATCATGAAAAGTTTTCGATGGAAATTCTTAATATCATGAGTTGTAAACCTCAACCAGATCTTCATCCTAATATTTATCCTCATCACTTTCATAATACTCTCCCTGTCTCTCTCTCTCTCTCACTCTCTCTTTTAGCCTCAATTTCAAACATTTTCTCATACTTTCTCTCATGATACTCTAACCCATCAAGATCTTAAACACCTCTTATTCCTCAGACCATATGATAAGAAAGTAAATGATTGATTATGTGACAAGACACAGTAAACATCATTACATTAGATGTTATTATTTGATTGATTATCAACTTGATTCAAGTTATAATTTTTTTTCCTTCTTCCATTCATATAATATAATTGTAACATGTTTATCACTTTGGTCATCTCACTCACTCTCTTACTCTCTCACTCTTTCAACAATTTCGTAACCAAGTGATAATAATAATCTTTCACTCGATTATCAACTTGTTACACATTGAAAATGACAAATTTTTTTTATCTTCTCATTGAGAATGTATTAAAATAAGTTGATGACATTTTCCACTCACTTTAAATGCTCAGAGAGAGAGAAAGAGAGAGAGAGAGAGAGAGACAAGATTATGATTTAAATTTTATTCGAGAGAGACTGGAAGACAGAGAGAGGGGGAGTTAAGTCATTTCAAGGATGATGATGATGATTATGCTTATCATGAAATTCATAATACTTACCCTGTTTGCCTGAACAACCTCAACATCAGATACAACCAGTGTATACCACAGGATCCACATAAGATTATTTATTATGAAAGAAATGAATAAATTTTTATGAATTGTTATTCTTGTACATTTCAGTGATCTGTTTAAATGAATAGATGATAAAATATTAACAAAAACGAAGGTAAAAAAAGTTATCTTAAAGTTTTTTTTTCATTTAAGTTCAATCAACAAGGAGATAAAATTTTCTTTTTTTGTTGTTGTTCATGAGATGAGTGATGAAGATTCAATTTCTACTGATTTTAAATTGAATGACAAATGAAATGATAATCATTAGATTGTTGTTCTTGGTGGTGTTGTTGTTGTTTTGGTGAAACATTGAAACTGCCAATTATTGGTAATTTGATTTCCTAAATCAACATTTCAATGAATCTTATTAATATTATTGAAACTGAATTGAGACATTGAGGAATAGAAAGTTGAACAAATTGAAGAAAACAATGAGAATTTTTTTTCCTCTTCAATTTTCCCCATGAAACTTAACCCTTATATCAAAAGGAAACTGATAATCTAATGTTACCTGAGTTTGGTGAGGTGCAAAGATAATCATCTGAAACTAATTCAATTGAAAAAAAAATATATTATTATATCAGGGGAAAAAAAGTTCTACTCGATGAATGATGGAAAAGGAAAATATCAATTTTCTTTTCAAAATTTTCCAAAAATTATTGAACTACAATAAACGATTCAATTTGAGAAAAGATAATCACGATTATAATTAACAGAATTGAAATGGAATATTTTTTTTCATTTCATGTCAACCTCATGAAATATATTTTCTTTCTCAGATTTTATTCAGAACTTTCTTCTACATCATTCTTGATGATAATTACTCGATTGAAGAAAATGCATTAATTTCAGTTATAAATGCAAATTACCATGGCGAGAGAGAGAGAGAGAGAGAGAGAGAGAGAGAGAGAGAGAGAGATGATTTAGAAGAACGAAAAGAGAATAGAACAAAAAAAATCTCTATTCTATTTGTATAGAACAAAGAAAATGTCTAACATTGTGTTAGTTTTCAATCGAACAAGAGCTTGAAGAGTTGTTTTAAAGTTCTAAATAAGTTCTAGATGTGTCACCCTGAACTCTTGCCGAATAGAGAATCATATAAATAATCTGATTCTAAAAGCTATTCAGAGAATTTTCCATTTGTAAGTCTTGGAGAAATTAAGAGAATAGGTTAATTTGTTAGAACAACTAGATGAGGAAATAATAGATTAGATGATTTTCAGGGTGATGGAGATTCTGATGATGGAAAAACAGATTGGAATGTAATCCATGAATCATGTCACGTACATGATGAGGGAGAAAATAAACAATTAACCTAGAGAAGCATTCAGATGATAATCATCGCCATTATCATTTCTATCACCACCAAGATCAACATTCAGCAAAGATTATTATTATTCTCAACTATCAATATCAGTATTCATAGTCTACCAAAGGTTAATTGTAAAGTTGAACCGTTTTCATGATATTAAATGGGAGAAACTGAGAAAATAATTCCAATGAATATAATGAACAAGGAACAGAAAATAAATCAGTATAATAATCATGAATTTCATATCATATTAATAAAAATGTCACCAGAATTTTCAATTATCTGTACCAGTTAAGTTTTCCCATCATCTCTATTATCATTTGATTAAAACAATTGAGAGACAAATGAGTTAACACAATGATTTGGACAAATGATTTACTAATTGTTCAATGAATCTCATCTCTTTTCAGTTAAACCTCTTCATGATGATATAATTCATGGTGAAGATATAATGTTATCTACCTCAATCATAAAGTGTTGTGGAAGAAAAAAAAACATCATGATATTCAGGAAAACTTATTCAGTGTCTTTATTCAGGCTTTTCAGAACTTTTTTTTTCTTCTCGTTCTCTTCCTTCAATCTCTTTGTTCTGAACTTTTTTTTTATGATTCATAGAGGGAAAAAAAGAGAACCTTTTCTTATGATAATTTCAAGAATCTCAATATTCTGGTGAGCATGCATGTTGATGTGATTATCATTAGTGCATATTCACATTTTATTCATTGTTCCGGAATCATGGATGCAGGATTGAAGATAAAACGATAATAACATGTGAAACCATAGGAATAAAAAAAAAATTCTGACAACCAAGAATAAGGGAACAAGTAAATTGCTCAATGTTTTCACATGGAAAGTAACAGGAAATAGAAATATAAAAAAAATCTATATGGATATTTACAGTTTCAACTTTGTTCTGAATTGAGAGATGAACTTTTCTCCCCTCTGAATGATGAATACAATGTATTCATGGTCTAGGGTAACAGAAATCGGAAGACAGATCAACTGAACACTTAAAGATAAAGTTACAGAATAGATGATAATTTATATTATCATTTTTCCTCGTTTCTTTCACTGAGTTTTTCCAATGAATTGTTGAGAATGAACTGTTTGAATAATGATGGAATTGTGATAATTATTTAAACAAATCATTTCAATTCATGATCGAAAATGCAAAATTCAACTAATACCATGATGGATAAATTTTGAATAAAAAGAAAATGATGTTTTCATCTTCTTTTATCTTCATCTTCATCCTCTTTTTATCATCAAGTTTCAATTTTATCGCTATTAATAGTTAGTTAATTATCATAATTTTCTTTAAAAATTCAGCTTATTCTGAGTCAGAACTTTTTGATAAATTGTTTCAACAGTTTTCTAATCATCATCAGCATGATAACCATTCAAGGATTGAAGTTTCCTGCGATAATTTTTCATCACATCGGAATCTCCAATGATTATGACTATTGAAAATTTCTTAAAATTGGAATCTTCATTTCCACAGTCAAATTTATCATGATTAACTAAATGAAACATATTAATTATTGATAATAACTCTAAATGAACATTTGTCTTCAGTTCTGTCATGAGATAATATCATCATCTTGGTACATTATTCATAGTTAGGATTAAGAAGACAAGATAATATCCTTGATAAGTAATCAGAATAAGCTCAGAATTCACTGATCGTAATCAAGAGTAATCAAAGAATAACCTTTTTACTTTTTTTGTCTCTTTCTAAAGGGAAAGGGTATTCATCCTTTTCTATTAATTGATACACATACATTTCTAAATGCTAATGAATACTAATGAATCAATGATAGGAATATACAAAAAGACCCATTATGAGGTCAAAAGTTACAATATGTTTCTCATTAGGAAACATGGGCTAAGATAATTGATGATAATCCTCATCATCAATGAATAAACTGTTCGTATATGAGATGAATGAGAAATGGATCAACATGTAATTGTGATCATTTAAGATTATTGCAATGGAAAAGTTAATCTCATTTAGAATCGTAATCATATTCATCTGAAAAGTATCAATATCAACAATCTTAACTAAACAAATTGTTGGGTGAGCTGGATTTTCACATGATATTAGCATTTAAATATGACGCACAATTGCTAGATAATAACAATAATCATATAAATATGTAACATTATCTCTGGAATGACCAGACTATCTCAGAATTATCTCCATTAAATCTTACCATTATTACTGTTATGTTTTTCCCCAGGAAGAAAAAAAAACCTCCCAAATGATTTCAGGAAAATATAACATGAATATCATGAAGAGAGAGAGAGGAAGAAATAAGAAAATTCTTAATAATAATGGAAAATTTGTAAACGAATTCTGTAAATGACCCTTAGTGATGATGACGATGATTATGTTCACATAGAATATTAATAATAATAATGATAATCTGGTCAGAATAATATTTTATTTTCTCCTTCTTCTCATATTTAATTTACCAACAATGTTTCAATTATTTTTCAGAATCAACTAATAATTTACATAATCAACTCTGGTGAATCTTTTTCCTGATTTATACCATCAGAGTTTTTTTCATATTTATAAAAATAAATCTCAATTCTATTCCAAAACTCTGATTTATCATGAATTTCTGTCAGCTCTATCGTTATCTAGTTCTGTCGAGGTCAATCTAATGTCAAAGGAAATATCTTTTTTTTTCTCTCTCAATTCATATTCTTAAAAAGATGAATTCATACATGTATTACCATGGTAACTAAGATAAATATTAAAAATCATTTTCGAAATTCTCAAAAGACATTCGGGAAAATCTCTCTCTCTCTCTCTCTCATTCTCTTGTTATACTTATAGACATGTAAATAATATCTAATGTACCATGTACCCTGTAAAAGTACAATGTAGATGAAAAAAAAAAGTTCAATAAACAAGAAAAATACTGAATCAGAATTCAGAGTAAACAAGATAAACCTAATAGTTGGATAGGAATTACAACTGATCATTTGTATTCATGTATTGGAAACATCATGAACATGGAGATCGAAACAACTTGAACATTGAACAATTTGTACTTACAAATTGAACAATTAAGTTTAATTATGTTTTAAAACTCATATCGATCATGTATTGATCTCGATAATTTAATTTTTTTCCAACTTTTCTCTTTAACTTGATCGAGATTAATTTTACCTTTTTGACATTAGAAATTCATTTATCTTTGATAATAATTGATGATGATATGAAATCTTTCATCATTATAAATATCTCATGGACCATGTATGAGAATCTCAAAGATAATCAATATTATTATTTAGATTCAATCATGTGAAGATATAATAAGCCAATGGGGGAGAGAGAGAAAAAGAGGAAAATGAATACCCTGTTAATACTTGGATTCAGTGGTGATTCTGATGATTCTTGAGATTCTTATTTCTAAACATTCCTATTAATTGGACGTTTTCTATTCTTATTCAGATAATAAGGATGAAAATCTTTTTCTTCAAAGAGAGTCAGTAGCCAACAAGTACATGGTTGTTTCTCTGGTCAAACATCACAACTAATCAACAGAATAAGAAGAAGAAAAAAAAGAAGAAAAAAAAATAAGAATAAGAAATCAATTGGATTGATGTTGCTAATCGCATGAAACTGAATTAACGATTCATTGTCCATTCTGTCAGATTTCATGTTACCTGATTTCTTTCTGATTAAATCCAAACAAATGATGGAAAAGAATCTCAAATCCATCCTATCATCTTAATCAACTAATCAATCTATTTTATATCTTTGACGTAAATAATTATCATCATTATCAATTCAATTCTATCATCAATCTTTACTTGTTGTTTATCTGTAACATCATCATCATCATCATCATCATGATAATTGGTGTCTGTGTATATGTAATAATGTATAAATATACTTACTTGAAAGATAGGAATATGATTAAGGATATGATAAGTGCTAGAACTGAAACTGAGTAGCCAATAATGTACAGGTTGTTCACTGCTTGGCGAAACTGTAATCAGGATGGAAAAACAAAACGATAATAATATGTTTATTGTTGATATTTCAATTGATAGCTTATCATTTACTCATATTATTATCCATGAATATCAATGTACATGAATCAATGTATATATGAATGTTTCGTTCATGGCTTACCCATGATGAAAAGGAATCAAACATCTTGGTGATAATTGAGAGATATTCTGAATAGACTGAATGAATTCAAGTTCGTTGGAGAAAAAAAAATCATCATCACATTTTCTGTTCTCTCTTTTCATTGAATCGATTGATGATGATGATGATGATGATCCAACGATAATGATCTAATCAAATTACCTGATCTTATTAATAGAATCACAATTTACTTTATTTAAACTCAATTATTCATGTTACTCAGATTTCCGATGCAATTATTTTTACACCAAGAACAATGGTGGAAATTTAAATTATGATAATTGATCTTATTTTCTTTCATGTTTATAATCCTATTTGGAAAATTTTCTTTACAATAATAATAGAAAATTGAAATTCTAAAAAGTCTGTAACATGATATGTTATTCTGAATTTTAAGCTATTTTCAATCTGGAACTTTTTTCTCTCCTTCTCTCTCTATCTATTTCTCTTAATCTCTTCCTCTATCAGATAAACATCTTCTCATGGTTTGTATTATTTTAAATTCTGTTGAAAATATCGAGTGTGAACACATATCACCATGAGCATTGAATCGAGATTCTGACAGATGATATTTTATCATATTGTCAGTTCGAAACTCTTGTATTTGTTTTTATCTCAACTCTTTATTTTTTTTTGCTCCATCAAAATCAACTGAACTTTTTTTTTCTCCAACGAAACTCATTCCATATTCAATGTTTTTCACTCGATTCTGATTCCTATTTTTTTCACCTTTGGTACATTATTATTATTATCATTTTCTTCACAATTCTTACCTTGAGATCATCTTTGTCTACACACGTTGTATAGTTACTCCAAGTTTTATTCGTATCCGGATGTCGAAACCAATTCCCATCTTCGAGACATAATTTGAATGCCAATTCTTTGTGACATGGAAGTGAAAAAAAAGAAGCAAAGAAAAAAACATTGACAAGTTACTATTTCGATAACATTATTATTCTGTGATTTATATTATTATCTATAAAATCAGTTCTCAATTAATAATTCAACAGATTAGTGATTAGCATGTAAAATCCTTTGGTTGATAAATCACATCTCTAATTAATTAATGGATTCATGTTAATTTATGAAAATCCAGTTAATGTTAGCTAATTATTATTAGTTGAAAGTTTTTTGATTACATTTTGTCAATTGAACTCATCAAGTTAATCAAACTAATACATTGTAAAGTATTAATAATAAATCAAGAGATGATAATAGTAATCATCATCAGATTAGTTTCGACTAATATATTGACCATAGTTGATTGATTGATTAGCTCAATGTAACAAAAACTTTCACCCAAAGTTCAGTTGTATGTAATATACTATATGAAAATTTCCCCTGGAACAAGAAAATTTCATGGTGAACCTGAAAAGCTTATAATAAAGTCTCAAGTGTTTGCAATTAAATAACGATAAACCCTCAGGGTATATTTGCCTGGGCTTCGAAACAGATGAACCATTTTCTTTTTTTCTCTCTCTCTCTATCGAATTGAAACTTGATTTATTATAAACAATTTCCAATCAATTTCTAAACACAATCAAGGGAAAAAATAATAAACTAGATGAAAGATAAAAAAACCAGTTTATCTCAGTCGAAATGTTGATTAAGGTGTAAATGATTATTATCTTCAGTTGGAATTGAGGGGCTGAAGAAAATTCAATCTCCATGATAACTATTCTCATGATGGTAAGAAATGAAGAAGCAAAAATTGTGAATCAAATTGGATAAGTAAATATATTCATTCATTGATCATTTTATTGGGACAATTAACTGATTACGATAATAGTGAATGTATATATTATTACATTAATCTAATTGAGGTAAACTAATAGTTGTAAAAGTAACTCTAACTAATTGATTTAATAAACACAATTTCAATTGGATCATCGAAAAATATTATTATCGTTGTTAATGATGATTCCAGATTGAGATTAATTCAGTTTAAATGAATAATCTTCAATTAGCTTGAGATTTCCAAGTGAATTTTAAATGTTCACTTTGATATGTTTTCTTTAATCAACAATTGTAACCTAATTATTATCTCGTCATCTTAATTAGTTAATGTTAACAATGTAAAAGATGATGATGACATGATAACAATAGTTTAAGAAAATTAAAGTAACAATCATAATTGTCATGTAACTGATTGTCAAGTTTTCCTTTTTCTCAGGTTTAATAATCAAAAGACTGAATTTTTGGTGTATTCTTATTGTTAACCATGGGAAAAGAAAAGTTTTCATAAGAATATCTCTCATCTGAATTGAAAAAGAAGGAGGAAAAGATAATTGTAATCATGATGAACATGATAATTGGCAAATTGTTTATCATTTCATTATTATTAAAGAATCAATCTATGAACAGAGGATGAGAGATGAAGATTAGGTTGATGATGAAGATGAGGATGGAGATGAAAATTGTTGACAAAGCCATTTAGTGTATATAATAAGTTTGAACCCAAATTCTAATGATGATAATATTATTACTATGATTCTGTCAATAATATTATTGCCTATCATTTAACATTCTGACATTCGTATTCTTATAATTTGATGAAATAAACAAATACAAATGATAATAGTTATAAGCTAATGATACGGAATCAAATTTTATCTCTATCAGTATCTCTCTCTCTCTCTCTCTCTCTCTCTCTCTCTCTCTCTTTCTCTCTTTCTCTCTCTCTCTCTCTCTCTCTTCAGAATTATTATTTTCATGATAACACACAGGTAACACATATCAAGGTCTCTGAATGGACTTGACAATTGAATTGCTTCAAGAAACAATATATACTTTCAATGATAAACTCTGAGCCTTGAAAATAGTCAATCTTTATGCGATTTTGATGTAAAGACTATTGAAAGATTTTATTCTTAACCATGATTTTCTTGATTGTTGGTGAATAGGAATTAAGAAGTTTATCATTTGGAAGGGGAAAATTGTTGCTCAGTACATTAATGATAAGCTCTTATAATAAGGGAAACAGCAAAGAAAAGAGAATCATTTTTGTCGTAAAAAGAAATCAATTTAGTTGGAAATCATTTTTATGCCTCAACTGACCATTTCTATTGTTATATTATTAACTAACTGATTCATCTTATTACTTTTTTACTGTTCATCCTTTTCTCTGAATTTCGAGTTTCTTACAGTTTTTGAGTTTCGAGTTTTTTTTCTCTCTCATCGTAAAACTTTTCATAAGGTTTCATTTTGTTCTCATTGAGTTGATTTTTTTATGGATTCGAAATCATTGACAGACAATTGAGAGAGAGAGAGAGAGAGAGAGAGAGAGAGAGAAACATGAAAACGATTAGAAACTCAGTGATGAGCTTGGGTAAGAATCGATGATTTCGCTCGTTTTATCTGATCAACTTTTCGCAAGTTTCATTTCTCTCACTTTATATTTTTCTTTGTATTTGTGTTAACTGTAAAAATGGGAAGAAACTCATGTTGGGAAAAGTTATCATGAAAAGATTTAGTTCTGTCATGGTAACAGAAAAACATGAAATCAAGTTGAGTATATTATCGTTTAGATATAATATGTAACAGAATGAGAAGTGAAAAAAAAGTATTGATGACCAGAGAATCAAAGAAAATGGGAATGGGTCAGTTTTTAGTAATCTTAAAGGAGAGAAAATGAAGAAAATGGTGATGATGATGATGATGAACAGGATGATGTCAGGGAGGAAGAGATGAGAAAATGTCTGAAGTGTTTAAGATTGAAAGATTATGATGATGCTGATGATGATGATGTAGTAAAATAGTTTGGAAGAAAAAAAATTGCAATAAAAAAGCTCATTGAAAATAGATTGAATTGAACATCAGGAGAGATTCAAGTTAGAGATTGGGAGAGCCTTGAGATCACATCAAATCATAATGATTATTTTGACAATCATGGTCAAGAAAATCAACAGATTCTGGCAAAAGGAGCGACAACTTTTTTTCTTACATGAATATTGATGTAATTATGAGTGACACTTAGAGAAGAGTTTGAATTTATGTTGAAAAAAAGCCCGACAATTGGTTGATAAAATTAGTTGAGAAAAAAAGGAGAGAAAAAAAAATTTAGAAGAAAAAAAGTTACTCAAATATAAGAAAAAAGAAAGTCCATATTCATGAGAGTAATTCAAAAGTACTCAGAATTCTGGAATTGATCCAGAACTTTGAGATAAACCACAGGAAAATTCATCAAAAAAAGTCAATAATTTTGGCAACTTTTGCCACTTTAACATAAGTAGTAGTCGCGAACTCGTCATCATCATCATCTCCATCCTCATCCTCATCACTTTCGTCATCCTCTCTCTCTTTCATCTCAATCTTCATCTGTACATCAACTTGAATTATCTCTATCATTCACTTTCACTGATGATTCTAACAAGATTCAAGTCAACAGTTTCTCTCATTTTAAAATTATTACATCGATATTAATGATAATAATGATAACGAATTCAAGTTACTACTGAATAACAAGTGGGAGTAAACGAGCAATGAATCAACAAAGTTAACAAGTTTTAACTTTCTTTCCAACTAAATGATAATGTCGATATAATTTAGTTACGATTCGTTGAACAATTTACCTTAATTTCCTGGAAAAATTCATCTTCATAAAGTGTAGCAATTCAATTTAGCAACAATATCAATTAGCATAACTTAAATACACACACAGAGGCAAAGGAGAGAAAGAGACAATTTAAATTGACTGAATTAACTGATTGCAAATTAACCGTTAACTGTTCAACAAAAAAAAGTTACAATTTAATATTGTTATTATTAGTTAAAGGTTAATCATGATTGACATTAAATTACATTCAACATAACCTTAAATGTTATACTCGTAACGATCATCAACTTTAATTAACTGGATCAAACTGTTAATCCTAATCAACAAAATCTCTTGTAAATCTAATTAATAACATGGAGGAAGAAAAAAAATTAAATGTTAACAGTTAATTAATTGTAGAGAAGAAAAAAAAAACGAATTCAACAATTAAAAAGTATCATTAATATTATGAGTTCGTAACTTTGTTGAAACTTTTTGGCTTTGAAACTTTGTTTCCAACTCGATATTTAAATTAACTACAATTTATCATAATTGTAATTAACAAACAATTTGTTCACTTGCAATTTCAACCAATTGATTTAATCAACATCAATTGGAATCAATTTTTTGGTTCATTCATATTGAAATACAATCATTTCTCAGTATAATCTCATGATAGTCATGATATTTATCAAATTATTTTCAATCATAACTCAAGGCACAATTAATTGTTGGTAATAAAATTGGTTTATTACCTATGGCAATATTTTACTTTCATCATAAATTATTATTATCTTGATTGTTATTATTGCCTGTTAATATTGATTAGGATGATGATGATGAAAAGACTCAAAGACAATTTGGTTGACCAGTAGTAATTAATTTATCATTGTTATTTATCAACAATTGTGGACAATTAAGATTAATATTCATTTGGATGGTCACATTTGAATACTAAATTTGCTTTTGTGTATTATTATTAATATTTTGTAGCTTCATTATTGGATTAAGTTAATTGTTTAAGATGATTTCTCAAGTGATGATTAAGAGTAAAAAGTTATTGATAATCAATCATTTTCATCTGAAACATTGGTAATAATACACTTGTGATTGATAATCAATTGGAAATTGTTAATTGTCAATGAAATTATTTCAATCGTTGTAACTATTTATTAATATTTCTTGTTTACTTATTAAATTAATATGATATTGTTTTCATTGTGATAAATACTTGAAGAGAAATTAATTTCCTTGTGATAATCAGTATGATTAGTAAATTATAATTGACATGATTAACAAGTAATAATAATAACAACATCATGTTCAAGTTTCAAACTGTTTCTCTTAATTGTTAGTCTATTTTTTGTTTCTTCAAGTTTAACTTTGGATAACAATTAACGATTGATACTTACGATCAGATCTAAATCCAACAACGGCTATTGGACATGGTATGTAAGCCGTTTGACCTGGCGGAGTGTCGTTCCAACAGCCCCAACCATCCCATGCCCTTGGACAGTATTTGAGTGCTGAAAAATAAAAGATATGATAACATGTTGACAGATGAGATGATTTAATCACAATTAAGAGATAATTTTCAATCTCTCTCAGTTGATTTTCAATGTTGACACTTTGGTGTTTTCACTAAGCCGTTGATCTTGAAGGTTTTTTTTTGTCAACTTACTTGGGTCAATTGGTGGAGCTGAAAGAACCTCTTGTTGACACTTTTCTAGAGCCTTGGCTAAAGGTCCGTCAATTGATTGGGTAACATTGTCATTTAATGATGAGTAAAGTGATGAAATTGTTGTTGTTGTTGTTGTTGTGTTTGCTGTTAGAGTTGATGATGATGAGGATGCAATTGATGAGGGAAACATCACAAAAATTATTGCTAAATTGTTGATTGTGTCTCTTTCCGATTCACTTTTGTTTTTCTTAACAATCAACAGTTTAAACAATTTATATTTAGTTACCTTAATGTGTAAAAAAACCTATGACAAGATGAGAAACTCAATTGAATCTCAAATGTGATACAAATCACTGAATAAATGGTGAGATGAATGAAAGTTTCATCATGAATCGAGTGAGTAAAATGATTAAGATGAAAGAGTAAGAAGCTGCCATCGAGTATCGGATAAGATAACTACTTCGTTTTATTAGAATATTTTTTCTCATCAACTTTTGTACCTTTCGAACTCAGAATTGTAAAAGAATCGACGAGAACTTTACAGAATCAGATATTCTCAATTGTTCAACTGTTCACTTATTCACAGAAATAACAATTAATCGGTAATTCATCACAAATAATATAAAACTCGTAGTGTAGTTAACACGTTGGTTAGTAAACCAAATTAAAGTTAAGATGTAATTCCTTAGACAATCATGACAATTTTATCAACTAATCCTAATCTTATCAACAATCAATCAAGTTTTCACTCTTAATTTTCATCTAATCTCTAATAAGATACACTAATTGTCACCTTTTATTTGATCAGAATTGAGTGATAAACCCTTCAGCTAATAAGAGTCCACTGGTGATATCGTTAACAGTATTGATTGTGTCTCATGATAAAGTATTTATCATGATTGTCAGGAAACGGAAATACTTTATTTTGCAATAATTAATTTCTTTTTCTCCCTTGATAATAATTGGCTTGTTTTGTTGTTATTTTAAACTCCTGGGAGATTAACATTGAATTGGAATTCAAATTTTCAGATTTACCGCTTTCTCTCAAAATGTTGCAACGATTGTTGAATTAATCGTTTAATTAATTGTCTATGTTTTTGATTTATTGTTTATTGTTTGCGTTTAATTAATGAAGACATTCAATCCATAGCTTGCTAATTAATTATTTTCTGGTTGAACTTCTTGTTTTAGATTTCTGGTTCGTTATCATGGTAAACAAAATCTTTGGTCCAGTGCATAAGTTTTCAATTAAAACTTTAATTCTGACGATTAAAAGATTAACAATTACATTTGTATCTCTGTGAGTCGATTATCATATGTAAGGTTATTGAGAAAATAATCCATAAATGATGATTACAATTTAAAATTATCTTTAATTTCATCGTGATCTTCATCCCACCAATCAACCATTTATTTAATCCCAAGTGATCCTGATTGAGACCCTCATCACAATTGGCTAACAATTAACTCTCCGTTTCAATGACAATCAATTCTGTGTCCATCTTGATCAATCGTTGAGGTCTTAAATCTTGTCCATAATCATTGATGATTTTTAGATGGAAAATAAAATTAAGATAATGTCACTTTTTACTAATTGCAATTAGTTTTGGTTCTGATAATTTCGAAAATAAATTAGCCATCCATTGAACTAATTTGTTGCTGTTACAATCAAAATTAATTTCGTTCTGAATTAACTACAATATATCGATAGAAATATCGATAAAAAAATACTATTATCGATATCGAAAAGACAATAACATTGGAAAGACTGTTGTTCTCATTAATTTGAGAATATTATTAATCGTCTTAATTTTATATTCTAATTGTTACCCTGTGCCTTTAATTGATTAATTAGTTGATTGGTTAGCTGATTAATTAACCAACGTAGAGATGAATTTCTTTAGAAAACCCAGTCCTCAAGGTAAGTTTTTCATTCACTTTTCTTGTTTACATTCAATTGATCAGCTGATTGTCAGAATTTTTTTTACTCTCAACATTTGCTATAATTTAAAGATTCTTTGTTGATGATTTATTATTAATGGTTCCCTTTTGTTTTCTTGTCTTAATTTCTTCTCGCTGTTGGGTTGATTGATTGTTTGCAGAGCAAATGAAAGCCCAACAAAAGGACCTTAGGAAAGCGGCTCGAGATGTTGATCGAAGCAAAAGAGAAATGGAAAGACAAGAGAAACAATTGGAAATCGATATTAAAAAAGCAGCTAAAGAAGGAAATAAACAAGCGTGTAACATTTTGGCTAAACAATTAGTACAATTAAGGAAACAGAAAAGTAGATGTTTAGTCGCTAATTCCCAGATCGGAGCGATAAGTAATCAGAGCAAAGTGATGCAGGCCAATACAAAGCTCGCCGGGGCAATGGCCACTTCGGCCAAGGTTAGAATGTCAACTTTGAGGGTCAATTTAGATTATCAAAAATCTAATCAATTGTTTCTCGTCTCTCACTTATTATTATTCTAGACTCTTGCTAATGTAAACGCTCAAACCAATACTGGACAGATCATTAAGACTATGCAAGATTTTGAGAGAGAAAATACAAAAATGGAAATGAAAGAGGAATTGAGTAAGTTAATTATCGATAATTGTTGTGATGATTTAATCTAATTTTCTTGATTTTCCTTTGCTACAGTCGATGAAACTTTGAATGCGATCCTAGACAATTCTGGCGATGAAGCTGAAGAAGATGCAGTTATCAGTCAAGTTCTCGATGAGATTGGTATCGAAATCACCGGAAAGGTATTGTTTAGCTCCATCGTTCATCTAATTATTACTAAATTGTAATCAACTAATTGATTGTTTCTCTTTTCTCTGTAGCTTGCCGAAGCTCCGGTTGCTAGAGGAGCCATTGGAGCGGGTTCATCGAAGGCCAAAGATAAACAAATGACGGATGAAGAACTCGAAGCTCAATTAGCTCGACTTAAGACATAAGACATAAGATCAATTAATCTCTTTCTCTTTCTCTTTCTCTCATTCCGTAATCTAATCAACATCAACATCAACATCTAAATTAAATCTCTAAAAGAAACTAATCACCTTAATGGCGATCATATTTTGAGAAACACTCGATGTCATAAATTCAACTGTTTTCGTTGACATAACTGATAGAAACTCTTATATTTTGATTAAATTTCATTTGTCATCATGAAATGTTTAAATTATCTCTTAATTACTCATCAAAATTCATATCAAATTAACAGAAATCATCAAATGATTAATAGATTCACATTTAAACTCGATTATCGATGAATCGATTTTTTTTTTACTTCTTCGGTTCAATTTTCATAAGCACGTTTTCTTATGTTTACAATTTGGTCTCAATTTCTTTAATCACAATCAAAACACTAATTTCAATTAAATTAAGTTAATGTCATCGACGATAATTAAAAAAGTTTCCATAGCTTGGTGAGTATCAATTTCGTATTGAAATCTAATTGTTTGTTAATCTGATGCTCTTTTACTGTGACGATTGTTTTTTGTTTTTCTTTTTCCTCATTCAGGGTTTTCTGTGTAATCTCAGGATCTATTTCCTATTTTGTAATTCGTAATCGCGCTTTCGAGTCCAGGAAGACCCACAATCGAACTCCGATCTCCATTCGAATAGATCAAATTGATAAACCTGATAATTGATGATTTAGAGCTTTACTTTTTGCTCAGACTCTAAGGTGAGAATCTTTTATTTGTATTATATTCTTGTTCTCAGTGATTGAATAATGTTCATTCTGTCAACAGAATTTGGGTCACCGTTGATTAGGTCATTTTAGTTGATCGAATTGTTTTTCTTGGCAAATTGTCTTTTAGACTTTTAAACTATTGTTTACTTTATTTCTCTCTCGATTAGATAGATACAAAGGAAAGTTAAAATGGCCGCAAATGTTGGACAACAGGTCAATCCTGCCTTGGCTCATCTCGACCCTTCATTGGCTCAGTTTGCCGAAGGTATGGAGATCGATATTATTACCGACATGTTCCAACGGATGAATTCATCTTGTATGAAGAAATGTATCTCACCAAAGTATCGAGATGCCGAATTAACCAAAGGAGAATCTGTTTGTTTAGATCGATGTGTCGCTAAATTTGTAGATGTTCACAGTAAGATCGGTAAAAAGGTGGCCGATTATACTCTTCAGGAGCAAACAGCGGCCAAACAAGCGGCCGAAGGTGCACAATAATTAAGTAATTTAGTTTCTTTCCTCCCAATTAGGTTATGTATTTAAAAAATATTTTCTAAAAATTTAGTTCAATGAATTGAAAATAAACAAAAAATTATTGAGAAAATTGGAAACATCGTCCAAATCTTATGAACGTGTTTCTATTTTTCTCGATGGCGATTGGAGACAATTTGTCAAATGTTCATCTTCGTTTAATGTTCATCTTGGAAGTCATCATTTGACACATCATTTTGATGAAATAATCATCAGAATTATCCGATTTAGATGAACCCGGTTTATCTTGTGAAGGTGCAGGTCCAATGTACTTGTCAACTTTAACCTCGACTCCATAAAGCCAAATTGATTGATCCTTTTGTCTTCTAGGAATTAAAGTTAAATGGAAACACTCTGGCCTAGGATAAAGTTTATGCTCATATTGAAGCATAATCATATCATCAAGATTCTCAATTAAATCTCCTTTTAAACAAGTTATATATTCTCGGGTTGATTTACCATGAACTTCAACAAATTTAGCTGATGAAAGTAGAGAGAAATATTTAAACCTCCAATTATCTTGTTCACCATCAATCAGTGAGATTGTTAACTGACAGGGTTCAATTGTTGAATCACAATTTAATAATTTACCATCAACTGGTTCAATTAGAATACAATTCTCGGAGCCGATTGCATCTTGAATGTTTAATTCTGATTGTTCATCATTGTCACTCTTGTTATCCAATAAGATGATACAATTTTCCAATGATCCATGTGTTATTTTCCATGAGGGTGAGAGAGACACTTTGATTATATCACGAGAAACTTTAGCCATTTGAGAAGGTTAATTGAAATGGTTAAAGATCAAACGTTAATCTAGTAAATTAAGAGTTAAATTGTTTTCACAATAAAAACAAACTATCAACAAAATGAACAACAATCCATTTAAAGTGTGCCAAAGAAATGCTGCCATCTTTAGAGTAAATTGTTTTCCAATCATCAAATTTGATTTAGAATCAATTTCCAAGTAAAACTAGTTACATTTCAATAGTTTATTGATTAGACTGAGCCAATTAAGAGCTCAAACTAATCAACTTGATAAAGATACAAATATGTACTACTGATAGATGCTGGTGTTTGGTAAATTGTTTTCTTGATTGTTTTAGACATCGGGCCATTCAAAAGGTATTTTGATATCCTGATATTTTTCTCTGCCTCGAATACCTTCAACTACCATTGGATGTTTTGGAAAAGCATCTTTACCTTTGAAGAAAGTGTCGTTTTCAGGATCAAATCGAATATATTGGTTGATAATATGTAAATTAGCTGGTAATTCATTTTGACGTCTAGAGAGATCATCGTATGTTGTTAATCCTCTGATTGGTGTTTTGTAAAATTCAACTACATCTCCTACGGTTTTCATTAGATGTAAATCGGGACTAGGAACTTCATGGTCAAGCTGTTTGTCACAATCATTTATAAACTGTTGAAGAGAAGGGAAATTTGAAATTCTCTTTTAATGGAACAATCAAATTTATCGATGAGATTATCATGACAAACCTTAAATTTTAAGAATAAATCGTCAAGAGGTTGATTTAACCATTCATCTTCTTTTCCTGGTTCACAAGTGAAATGAGAAGAGTAAATGGTTTTGATGAATTCGACAACATCTTCCCTTGGTTGATAGGCACGAATTTCTCTTGAATATCTGAGAAAAAGAGAAAAAAATTAATAGATCAAGAAAATTTCTACAGAAAATTGATTCAAACTTACCCTCTAGTCTTCAATGATTGAGCTATACGATCGAAGAGCTCCAATGATCTACCTTGAGCTTTCTCAGGGCAGCTACCATATTCTTCGTTTTTAATAAAATTTCGCCGTCGAATTAATGTTTTTTCAATTCCTGCCTTTGTAACTTTAGCCCAGGGAAACTTTTTCTCTGAAGATTCTTTATCTTTATTTCTCGTTCCATCCTTAGTAACAGTTGCATATCGAAAAAGAACACAACTTGAAGAAATACCACGAGTTTGCACAATAGAAAGAGGCAACATGTTCAACAGAACAAAATTGTTAACCAATAAGAAAAAGAAAATACAAAATAAATTCTAAACAATTAACCAAAAAAAATGAAAACAACAATCACATTAATTGAGAAAAAAAAATTTCCTTGTTTACACGATTTCGGTTATTTCGGTTATTCAGAAAACCGGTCAACAAGTTTACTTTTACTCTCAATAGATGTCACTTATCGTAGAATATGAAATTTTAAATGGTCACCATGGTAACCGAATGAAGCGCCGATCAGTTGGAAGAACATGTTAGCTTGTTAATTGCGAATAATTAACTGTTTGAGAAAAAGAAACAATTAAACTGAAGTGATTTTAATTGTTACAATGAGAAGATCTTAACTATGTATTACTTTAAAATTCTACTTTGAATTGTGATTTCTTCTATTCTCCTGTTGTTTGGAAAAGAAAATTGTCTAATTCCAGCTTAGAATTTGATTCTCCAATACCGACTGGCTTTTCCTTCGGCTTTCACTTTGCTTTTATTCTCATTACTTTTTCTCCTCATCATTAGAGTTTTTTTCTTGTGTTAATAGTTAATTTTTATTTTGATTTTCTTTTTTGTAATTATAATTGATATTATTGATTGGTTTTTACATCAAATTCTTTATTCTTTCAATTTCACCTGTTATTCAGTTGTAATCATGGTGAAGCTCATGTTAAAACCCTTAGATGATGCCTCCAAATCGGTTGAGATACCTAAAGGAAAGACAACCCTTGGTAGAGGACCTTTGCTAAATGTATTGTATCAACTTTATTTTTTTTCTATTCCATTTTTTTTTCTCTCTTCTCTTATTCTTCTTCTTCTCCACTTGATAACCTTTCTCATGTGACTATAAACTGTTGATTAACTTGTATGACAATCTCTAATTTCTCTAGTATTGGTCTTAATTATCTGATTGTTCTATAGCTATTTAAATTGAAGATTGTCATCCCGGCCAATTGCCGGTTTTCTTTGGTTCAATTTTCTTTGGACTTTTTGGTTTTCCATCTTATCCTCTTTCTTTTTTTCTCTTTCTCTCTCTCTTTCCTCCCTCCTTCTCTTTATACTGCGCTTTCTCTTTTTCCTTATTTTCTCTTTTGGCCTAATATATTATATGTATATAAATATATCTTATTTTCTTTCTTTTTTTTTCTTTACCAATTTTCTCTTCTTCTCATGGTTTAACTTTTTAGTGTGCTGACAAGAAAGTGTCACGAAATCATGCTATTTTGGAATTCAAAGAATCGGGAGAACTACTATTAACCTCTGTAAGTATGATGACAATAAACAGAAAGCATTTAAATATCTTCTTTAAGGGGAGCAAAGAAAAATTCGATCGCTACAAGTTGTATGTATATGCGTATATGTCACTTGGCACTTTAAACTTTACCTGTTAACATCTTTTTAAATTAATGATGTCATCAATTTGGTTAACCTTTGATTAGAAGCTAATCGTATCATTGAAAGTAATATTTCTTGTTTTAAATATGTTTTTGTCTTTCAAATCTTTTTATACAGACTCATGTTAATCCTTGCTACTTCACTACTGAATCTGATGGGCAATCGAAAGTTTTAAAACAAAACAAGACACAAAAATTGTCCAACGGTGATACATTTAGCCTTCTCCCTAATGGCTATAAATTTCAAGTAGAACTTGGTGACTCTGAAAGTTCCGATGCACAACCTAAAAATAATGATCACAAAAATGATAAAGAGTCGGAATCTTGTAATGGTGACAGTGTTAAAAGTGCAGATCCAAAAACAGCAAACAATGATGTCGACACTTCCGAGGTCAAAGTTGACGATGAGGATACTAAAGATACAGATATTAAAAAATCTGATGAAAAAGTTACTGGTGATAAGCCAAAAGGTATTTGTTTGTTATTATTATTGTTAGTCTTTAAGCAACGGTGATTAATGTTTTCCACTTATCATCTTCATTTTTAGGTGGTCGTCCAAAAGTTGATAATGACAGCGAGGAAGAAGATGAAAATGATAAAGAGGATGATGAAGAAGACGATGACATAGAGGAAGAACCTAAAGAGAAGAAGACAAGCAAGCCGGCTAAGAAAGAGAAGGATACTAAAGCAAAAGACACTAAAGGTATGTTTTGGTTAACCGATTATCATGAAGTTTATTTTTCATAATTTTTTTACTCTCTCTCTCATGTTCACTTTTAGTTGCAAAGAAAAAAGCCAAAGATGACAGTGAAGAGTCCAAATCAGAGGATGAGGGAGACGAGGAAGATGAAGAAGAGGAAGACGAAGAGGACGAAGAAAGCGAGAGAGAAACAAAAAGAGGTCGAGGTAGAGGTGCTGCTCCTAAAGGAAGGCCTCCCAGAAAAGCTGCCCAGGCTCAAAAATCATCTAAAACTGTATCACTTGACGATTACATTGTCAGTGATGACGATTTCATGGATGATGGTAGTGAAGAAGAAGCTAAACCTAAAAAGAGAGGCAAGAGAAAGAGTGATGATTCTGGAAGTGATTGGGAAATAGAGCATAAAGGTGGCAGTGGGGGTGGAGGTGGTGGTCGAGGTTCAAAGCGTAGATATGACTCTGAAAGTGAGTCCGGTAGTGATTGGGAAAATGAGAAACGTTTTGATGTTAAAAGAAAAAGAAGGGTAAGTGATATTTATCTATTTATTTCTTCTTTTTTTTGCTGACAAATGATTCTTTTAATTAAATTAATTTTTTGCTCTGATTTTAATCAACAGACTCCGGCTAAACATTCCGCAAAACCAACTCGTCGATCAAACAGGGTAAAGCCAACTAAAAGGGGTAGAAGAGCTCGTGACGAAGATTCCGAAGAGGAAGAGGAGGAAGATGACAATTTTGATGATGAGGAGGTTGACAAAGATAAAAGATCACCATGTAAACAAGGAAAAGGCTGTGGTCGCAGGAATCCATCTCATCTCAAAGAGTTTTCTCACCCTGGAGATGATGATTTTGGATCAGATGACGATGATTCAAGAGATGAAAAAGTAGAAAAATCTCAAAAACAAGATAAACCTCAACCTAAATCTCAACCCAAAAAACCCAAGAAAGTTGAAGTTGATGATGAAGATGAAGAAGACGACGATGACGAGGAAGATGAAGAACCAGAAAGGAAAAAGCCAAGCCCACCATCTAAACGAGGTAGACCAGCCGCTAAAGGGCCCGCTGGCAGGCCTAAAAGAGAAGCTACTAAAAAAAGTAAGTTCATATTTCCATTCACCACAAAATCTGTGGCGTAAAGTTAAAAGAAAAACTCATTTAACTTTCTTTTTTTTTCTCTCTCAAATAAATAGGTAAAAAAACCTACGACAGCGACGATATCGATGAAGATTTCTCAGAGGAAGAAGTAATGCCCAAAGCCAAGAAAAGAGGAGCAGCTCGTCGAGCAAAAAGTGAATCAGAAAGCGATTTCGAAGAAGATGATGACCTTGAAGAATTAAAACGTGAAGCTAAAGGCTTCATGCGTAAAAAGGCCAAAGCGTAATCCACATTCCGCTTTCTGTTTAACATCTAAAAACAAAATTCACAAATGCGCTTAAAACACCCTCATTGTGGATTAACTTTTCTAAGGCTTAATTTCATGTTCAATCTTCTCTCCATTTACACCTCATCGCTCCTTAAGATCAGCTGAAATATTCCCACTTTTCACAGGATTAACTGTTCTGGCCGCGATACCCTCACTTCATCCCTTATCCATTACCGATCACATTCACTGACCTTTATTTGGTTATAAACATTTCAATTACTTCATAAAACTTTTCGCAGCCATATCCAATTTTTTTTCTTCTTCTTCGTCTCCATGAGAAAACAGTAACCACACACAATCTTTATATCATGCATACACCAAAAGAGAGAAAGTAAACTCTTTTCTAAACAAAATGAAAGTGATGTTGTGTAGCATCAATGAAAATATCTTCTTCTTTTTCATGATCAATCTCGTCATTACTTTTAATTTTATCGATATCATGACAGAAAAAAAGAGAAGTAAACAATTGTCAAAAGTTATGCATTTTAGAATTGGTATCATCATCACCATCGTCATCATCATCTTCATCGTCATCGTCATCGTCATCGTCCTCCTCTCAAACACTTCTAAAAAGCATTTCTACACTTAAATAATTTTCTTTTCTGTTTCCAAAATTCTCTCTCCTCTCTAATTGTGAATGTTCTTGGTCACCAATGATCCGTCAATCATCTGGGCAATTGATTATTCCCCTTTAATCCAACCATTATCATGAATAATCCTTTTATATCCAATTAATCATCTCTCTCTCTCCCCCAAATCATATCTTTAAATCCATGTAATCTCCTTCTTTTATAATCATTGGGAGACTTCTGTTCCTTCCAAGAAGCAGCCTAATATCCAGATGAATTCCCTTTGAAGTAACAATCTGTAAGAAGTAAAATATTGACAGAAAGAAAAACCAAAATTAGTTAATCATTAACTAACTTTACCATTGGTTTAATGTGTTGATCGAACCTTTTTGTTCATTGTGAACAATTTCTCGGTAATATCTCGAGCTATAAGATAACTTAATGCATAAGAAAAAGCAGTTTCCTTTATCAAATGATATTCGAGGTTTGATCTTTCCCATGAAATATATCGACATGGAACAGCAGCAATTATGGAAACATTCATTTTATCCTCATTGGAATTGTGACAATTTGATTCAAATTCAGGAGAATCCATGAACTCTAACGGTTCAATTGGATGTAAATAATTTCCATTACAAATCACATTCGCTCTGTAATTAATATAAATGAATTTGATTAACGTTTGGATGTTGAAAGAGAAACAAAAATCTCACCTTCCAGAAATTAGTAAACTTAATCGGTCATTTTTGGTCAAATTCTGTATTGAATAAGCTTCACCAGCTTCGAGTCTATGGATTGTCGCATTGTCGGGGCACGAAAGTCGTTGAAAGGTTAATTTGTTTACTCCCATGGGAGCAAACATGCGATTGTAAACACGTTCCAATGATTTAGATGAAAAATTAACTTGCCTGAAGGTATAAAAAAGGTGAATCGTATGTCCGATATTAACTATCAACATAACAACACTCCAAGTGAATACCAAAGGTGAACAAATGACCTTAACTGACCAATCACATAATATAATTAATCCAATAGTTGATGAACATCGTGAGATCAGTAGCCCATTTTCAAGAGGAATATCAATATAACCAAATGCTAGGAAACAATTAGCTAAATGAAACAACCAATTGTCCATTTTGAATTAGCAATCAATTAATGTGAAAATTGGTTAACTCACAATTAACTCAATTCGAGATGAACACTTATTGGTAAGATTGAAAGGATTCAGATTCTAATCGAGAAAATCGAACCATATGATTCAAGGAAAAGGGATTATCTTGATTCTGCGGGAACACATCGATCGATAAAAATCCCATCGTTAAATTGATCATCTAAAACTAAATTACCAACAATCAACTAATTTTCTTGCAATTTAGAAACTTAACTTTTCGTCCAGTCAAAGTTTCGTAACTCAGGTAAATTCACCTTTTCTCTTATACACCTTTACCTGAATTCCATTGGAAATTATAATTATCACTAATCATTTCTTTTCCCATTTTAATTGTTAACAAAATCATCTTTTAATTGGGTAATTTAATTACTCTCGGGGAAAGTGATTAAATCAATCAACTTTCATTTAGTTTACCAGGTAAATGATGAGAAAATAACCGATAGATGGAGCCACTTTTTTCCTAATTTTTCCTTAATCATTGATGCAGAAAAAGTTAAATTACAACAATTAAGATTGTGTTTATTTCAATTGTTGTCACTTCTGATGAATCCTTGATTAGTACATTAATTGTTTGTCCTTCCAATAATCAGTAATTGGATTTCTCCTAATCATATAAATAAACAGAATCCATTGTGAACATTTCAAAGTATTTTAATGATTTTTTTTTAATTATTTCTTAATTAGTGATAAATAATTGAATCAAATTTTTTTGGTAGTAAGTAAGAAAAGGTGAGAGCACTGAATTCAGAGTTTCAAATGATTAACTATGAAATTGTGAATGTTTCATGGTGAAAGAAAAGTGAACAATTAATTCTAACCAGGTAAGAGAGTGAGAGTTAATTGTTTTGATAAATTATTAGCTAAAAGTTTGATTTAGTTTGTTTTCTAGTTGTCAATTAGGCACATAAACAAGTAATGGTGATAAATGATTGAGTTGAAGAAACACAATTAACAATTAAGGGAGCAAAATGCCGGGAGAAACTTAGAAAGGTAAAGTTAATTGTTGTTGTTGTGATCAAGAAATTGACAATAATTAAAGTGAAAGATGAAGATTGGGTTGGTTAAATAATTGAAAGAAATTAATTCAATATAAGATTATATTTATAAGGTCAAGAACAATTAACAATCTTTCAAACATAATTCCTGTTCTGTGATCTATTGGCTTAATTGTCATTGCAAGCACAACGACAATCAAGTTAATCATGGCAATAATATCATTCTCAAGGGCTTTTAATCACTTTTTCAGCAATGGATCGTTTCCTTTAGCGACTAAATTGTTAATTTGGTTAACTTTTTTTTTCTCAATTGTCTCTCGGTTGTTTAGTTTTTAAAGTTTTTTTCGTTTTCCTTTTTTTTCTCATTTTTACCGAACGTTTTTCCCCAACAACAATTAACAAATCAGTGGACCCTGTAATCAGCGTAATTAGTGTAAACTCCTTGATTAGGATTCTGGTATCGAGGGTCTAAATTGAGCATTCCGTATGAAGAGTTTGGGTCAAAATCGTAGCTCGTCTCATCAGCGGCCTTGTCAAGATCGCCGGTCACTTTTTTATCCTCATCTTTTTTCAATATTGATCGAGTTGATCGTTTAACTATTTTCGCAGTTGATTTAATTGTTGTTGTTGGTGTTTTTGGTGTTGTTGTTGTTGTTGTTGTGGGTGTGGGTGGTGTAGATGTTGATATCTTTGATGATGGTGAAGTAAACATTGAATTTGAAATCGTTGGCGAGGGTAAGTTAATGTCAAAGTTTTCTGATCCACTTCCGGGTCCAAAATCAAACTCATTGTTTCCGTTATTATTATTACTACTTGCGAATCCAAAATCGTCATTATTATTACCACCTAAAGGAAAACAATTAAAAGCAGAGGGAACAATTAGTTTTCTTGATCATCTTCGTAGTCTCTGTATTAACAGAGTTTCTCATTTGATTTAGTTAATATTAACGAACCTCAAACTTTTAAACTGAATTAATTTGCTACAATCGGAGGGAAGGAAAAAAAAAGTTTTCGAATAGTTTGAAAAGTTAATTAATTTGTTTAGACTTTTAACCGGTTATTTAATTAACTGTTGACTTACCTCCGAAACCGAAGTCACCACCATCCCCTGAATTACCACCGCCAAAGCCGAAATCATTGTTACCAGAATTACCTGAACCAGGTAAACCAGGGAAAGGTGAGTTGTTGTTTCCACCGTTTCCACCAAATATTGGGATAGGAAGACCCGATCCACCATTGGAACCACCATCATTACCACCGCCGAGATTGGCTAATTCACTTAATCCATCACCACCACCATTACCGCCTGCAGTGGGTAAACCATATTCACTTGGATTGAAACCATTGTTACCTCCATTATTGTTTCCACCTAAAGCGGGAATACCAGGGAAACCAGCTGATGAACCACCACCACCTCCGCCGCCGATATTGGGAATACCTGGGAAACCATTGTTATTATTTGATCCACCACCGAGACCAGGGAAACCTCCGCCATTATTATTACCACCGCCATTTAATCCCGGTAAATCATTGTTGAAATCAAATGGTATCGGTGGTGGTGGAGGTGGTGGAGGAGCAGCACCACCATTGAAACCACCTTGGGGTGGACCAAAGTTTTGATTATTCCCTCCAGGATAAGCTGAACCAGGTTGACCCTTTAATTGTTAATCATTGATATCGAGAAGCAAAAGTTAATATTGTTCAATATTACAGAAAAACAATTAACTCATTCACTGATTTCGTAAACTCAAATAATTAATTGTGATTGTCTATCTGAATATTTTTAATATATTAAATGGATCATCAAATAAGATTATTATTATTATCATTGTGTAAACATGAATCACGTAAAAATGGTTAATTGTGATCAACAATTAAGGTTCAAGTTTGATTCAAGTTACAATTACGTGTTAAAAGTTTATCACCAAAGGAGCTTTAAGTAAGTGTAACAATTAAAAATGTCAAATCCATTTCATGGATCATTTAATTTAGTTGTTATCACCCACTAATCAATCAACCCAATCAATATAATAGCAAAAATGATTAACATTGAATCTTTCATGCAAATTTATCATCATTATCATCTGATGATGATACCGTTATTTTTGTAAATCGTTAATCACTAATTATTAACAATTTTCTGCCTCCTCTTAACGTAACTGATTAACTAATCAGTTTCCGGAAAGATGACAATTTAACTGGGTTAGTGTCATTATTATCATTATTAGATGAACAGTTTTCTGTTGGAAAAACAAAACAAAATTATTTAACAATTGATTGATTGTTAGATCAATCTAATTAATATTAGATATTGATTGTTAATGTATAATAAAATAAATAGTATTTTTTGTTTAATTGATCAGATGATAATCAATAGCGTATGGGTTAGGGTATTGGAAGGATTAATTGAATTGAACAAATGATGATGAGAAAAAAAAATGATTGTGATGGTTAATTGTTATAATTAACATCTAATTTTCAACAAGAAGCTTCTCCGGGAGTTTTAACTTGTAAACTTCTGAGTGATGCTAATTTGGATGGATCTAAATTCTGGTAACTAATTGAATCTTTAAGTGAAACTGAACATGAACGATTCATTAGATTAACACGAAGGTAAAGGAAGACAGCAATTAACGAGGAAACAATTAACATTAATCCAACGATTACGACGGTTAATGTAAGGACAATACCAGAGATACAGTAACGATTTGCCGAGTCAAAGGATAATAATGATGATGAAGATGAAGATGAGGATGAGGATGATTCTGGTCCAAAGATGTCGAGAGTTTCAGTTTCATCGGTTGTCGAAGTGAAATCAAATGAAATATCCCCTGGGGCAACAACTCGAATTGTTTTCTGAGTACTAACAGCGGTTGTATTGTTAATCGCTCTCTTGGTTCGTGGTCTTTGATATAAAGGATGAGATGATAATGTTTTCGGGTGGATAAATGTTGCCGCTGGAAGAGGCCAAGTTCGGTTAAGGTCATCTAAGCGGGACGATGGAAGTTGACTTGCAACCATTACTCTTGGTGCAACACCGGAATTGATCATCGCTGCTCCAGGATATTGTTTGGCATTGATTAGTGTTGATTGAGAACTAGAAACACTGTTAACATTAAATGTCGCAGGTCGATTACCGTTAATATCAACCGCTGTCGGTGATTGTTTACTCTCTTCTCCACCTTCTTCGGGATGGAAAGTGGGCTCTGATCCGGTGTCAGTGCAACTTGGAACTGGACAAGCTTCTCGACAAACTTGGATGACACATTGAAAGTGAACGTTAACTGAGTCGGGGAACTTGAATGCTCTGAAATAAGCATAAGTTGCAACCGATGCTGAGTAACCAAAGTTTTTAAGTTTACGAAATTTGGACATGATTCGAGGTCGACTTATGCAACCATATTCATCGACAAGTTGAATGGGTCTATGGTTACCATCATGAGCGACACAATTACGGACCAACATGTCAAATTTACCATCATCATCTTTAATTGCTAAAACCATTGTCATTGTTTGACCAATTTTAACCAAACCCGTTGCCTCATTATTGAAAGGACCTTTTCCCGCTTGAATTTGCATCCAACATTGAATATTATCACCAAGGAAATTGGTGGTCACTGCGTCCATCATTTCAACTCCAAGAGATTTAAATGAGACCGTTTTCTCATAATAATCGTACCAAGTGCAACGTAATCGACGAGCTTGATCCCAAACCTCTTGGACTTGTGGATCGTGTTGAATGATGATCGTTGATTCAGTGAAAAGCCAAGGTTTAGACGAACCTCGAGCTCCATGAGCTTCATCTGAACCAACCATTCCACAAGCATCAAGCCTAAGGTCAAAACTAATCTCCGATTGTCCAGTCGCTGGTGGAGCATGGACACATTTAGGATCACTGTAGTGTCCTTTTGAAAAGATTACTCCATAAAAGGGTCGATCAAAATCAATCTTAACCGACATTGAACTTTTCTCACAACGAACATGAATACCTTTGATCAATGGCACTTCAGGTCGTTCCAAAGGTAACGAAGGTTCATTGGAACGTGAATGAGAATTTGATCCAACATCAGTTGATAAATGATTGTCACCATTTTGTTTACTATTCTCATCATCATATGATTCACCTTTTCCATAATATGATGGATTAGATGAGGATTTGGATTTAGGCAGATAAGCCGGTGAACGAGTCTCTGGATCAGTGGCTTCCTCTTCCTGTAGATCAGTTTTACTGTCAATCTCTTTACATTCACCATTCTATTGAAATAATCATATGCTAATCCGTTAATCAACTGTTGATCACTAATCATCTTCTAATTGCTAACCCTTCACCATAATCTAAAATTAACCCACGAAAATGAAAAGTTTAGTTCCAATGCTTACCTTTGATAAAATAATCACGATAATAGCTAAACAATGGATTAACTGTTTAAATTGTTTGCAATCCATTTTGAAATCTCCAAGATTAACACAAGATTAACTTAAATTAACTTGAGAACACAATTAAGAAACAATCAAAAGGTAAATAAGTAACAATAGATGATAGAAAAGTTAATCCAATGGAATCGACGAGGAAAAACAAAACAAAATAAAACAAAAGAATCAAAGTAAAAACAAAAAACTTAATTGTAACAATTTACTCCCAAGATTTTGGATTAGCTTAATTTCATGTTTATTACAGTTAACATAAGTAAAGTAAGACAAAGATTTAAGAATTTGAGTTAATCCAATTGGGATAAGTGAATTAATCAACTAAAGGTGAGGTGATGTGGTGAGAAATTGCTACCGATACTTAATGTTAAAGAAAAGTCAAAATATGATCAATTTAATTGTTTACAATTAGCCCCCTCTGGGTAAAGTTAACAGTTATGAAGATGAGCGAAAGGTAATATATGAAGATGAAGGTGGAGGGTGGGGGTTAGGATGATGATGATGATGAGTATTTGGAGGAGGTATTGGTGGTTGTTGATGAAGGTGAAAAAAAGATGAGACCTGATTTAGAGCTTGATGAATATTGTATTTAAATTACTATTGATAATAAGCAATTTTCGTTATAAGAAAAATCAGTAAACAGGAAAATTGTTTCGTCTCAATGATTTAACCAGGACGACATAGGGATCATCATCGTTGGTATCATCATATACTCATCCTAATCTATCATCATCATCATCATCATCATCATCATCATTATCAGTGAATCAGTTAAATGTTACCTTTCACCTATTTTGCTCCCCAACAATTTAGGTGAAAACTTTTATGATTAACGCAATTTGAATAGTATATGATACTTATTCATGTTATTGATAGATGATAATGATTTTCATGATGAGATGATTATGATAGAGTTGTTTATTTCCGTGTCATTTGTGATTTGGTTATCATCATGACGAAATGTAAACATGATTTAATTGATTGTGATAATATGATAACTTAATTTGCTTCTTGAAAAAAACCAAAAATCAAATTCAATTCATACAATTGATATGAGATTATTTCTTGATAACTTTAAATTGTTACAACGATCAACGATTGATTATTGGTTATTGATATTTAGATATTGAGATTGTCAGCAATTTAATTATTGGACAATTTAAATTGTTATTCTGAGTTAATTGTTTTTCTTGAGGATTGAAACTTTTTTGTTTTGATTTGATTGTTTCGCTTTCAATATTAAAACATTTCAATGTTTGCGAAAAGTTTTAATTTGATTGAATTGAATTTGATTGTCATGAAATTGATTCTAATTATTAAATTTACAAACTGCTGATTGAGTTAATTGTTGAAACAAAATTATCATTTTGTTGATTGTTAAGGTTGATTGTTTCTCTCTAATTGTTAGTTAACTAAACGTGATAATTATATCATTTGCTAATAAAAGTTTTCTATTGATGATTCTTAATATAAATCATCATGATAACTGATTATTAATTGTTACTGTTTTAAAACGATTAACAGATAGTGACAACAATTAACTAATCATGATCCGTTTTGATTGAACAATTTAACGTAAAATTATATATATTAATATTTGGAGGAGACAATTTTTCAAGAAACAAATATTGGTTAAGATAATTATAAATCTAAGTAATTAAACTAATTAACTTTTACGACTGAAAATCATCACCATCATTATCTAAAACAATTTACTAATTATAACAATAAGGTTACTCGTACGTTAATTGTTACAGAAATAAATATTATCAACATAAATTAATAATTCTAATTGTTTGATCAGATATTTTGTTCATTGTTAATCTTGTTGGTTGATCAAATCAGGTTAAACATGTAAATTGTAATCTGACAATTTGTTGCTTGATTAATTTAGTTTAACCGGAAAAATGACAAGGTTGTGATATAATTGATTAAGATTAAGATTATTAAACAATTAAAAAGCTACACTATGAAAAGGTAAATTAAATAATCAGCAACCTTGAAATTTAATTGTTAAACTGATTGCGGAAACGGCAATTAATTAAAATGAAAGGTTAGGCCTAATTCAAGTGGGGAAAATTATTATTAATTATTGGTCAAAGTTTTCGCGATTAATGTTAATCATTCAACCTTTGAATTGTTATTAATCCAATTGTAGTGATTAGTTGATTAAAATGATTGTTATCCAAACACAGTAATTCAAATGAGGACAATTAAAAGATAATCAAATTTATCAGTTGACAAAATCGTCTAAAGATCAACTGATTAACTGAATGATTTAAATCTAGAATTTGAACCAATTAGACAAACACGAACTTTTATATATATCAGATATATAACAGATCACAATTAACTATCAAAGTTGAGCGATAAGATGATAATCACTTACCTGGAATCCACCAGAATTTCCCCCTGATTGCCCTGAATTGGGATCTCCATTAGGATAATTGTAGGTGTAACTATAAGGTTGAATTCCAGTATTGTATCCATATGAATAAGGTCTGATTCCTTGATTAAATTGATAATTTTGAGGTCCATTGGAACCACCCTGTCCATTGGTATTCCCAGAGTTTCCTCCATTATTACCTAGACCTGGATCACCACCACCATTAGCACCGTTATTTTGACAATGAGCACAACAAATTAATAGTGAAAACGTAGTAAAGATAAACTTTGATCGTAACTTGATCATGATTATTAAATTATCGAAAAGAAAAAGAAAACAAATAAAAACTTTTTTTTAATCCGTTGAATTTGATACAACACTTTAAATCCAAAGAAACTTTAAAAAAGACACTGAACTTCAAGTTGGTTGCAAAAAAAAGAGAAAGTAAAAGTAAAATTGAAGTGAACTTTTCGAGGATCACGATTGAAATGTCCAACACCCAACGATCGAGTCTCTTTATATATTAGGTAAATGTAGTTTCCGGTGCAAGACCTTATCTCAATACGAATTTATCTCAATATAAAAAAAAACACTTTTTCTTCAGGGAACATTTTCTTCGTAACTTTTACTTTCGTTTGTTGTTCTATCTCATATTCTCAACCTTGACTTCGTCAACAGACCATATCCCCCACAATAGTAAACAATACTGATGATGATGATGGAGATGATGAAGAAGGTAAGAGAGAAAGAAAGAAAGAAAGAGAAAAGAAAGACCGAAACGATTTACTTACTTTTTGGGATAGCCCATTTTCCAATACTCAAATTCAACACCCTCTCTCTCTCTCTCTCTCTCTCTCTCTCTTGGTGTTTCTTTCTTTCACTATCCATTGGAATCTTAATAATCTATAAGATATTAGATTGTCAACTGGATAAATCCCAACAATTACCTTACAGGTAAGTACAATTCTATTTATTTTCTCGCGATTAAATGGCCTCCATTAATTTTCCCTTTCTTTTTCTCTTTCTTTATTCTGGTTACTCATAAATTTCTTGTCATGTCACTCGACTTATCGTTTATTCAGTTCTTTCATTTTCCTTCTTAACTTCGTGGGTAAAACAGTGAAATTTACTCAACTTAACCGGAACTTAACCAACCGAGAATTAAAGTGAGTCGTATATTCAGTAACTCGGTGAAATTACTCAGTGGCTGTTAATCATTTCCTTTCTTTCATTGTAATGATTTTAATTAATCACACAATAAGCTATTAGCTTCACTTAATCACCGTTTACCTTTTTCCCCGATAATCAGCTGATCTGTAATTCATATATATAACAACACGATCATGATCATTGTTAATTATCTCTAAGGCCATTGAATTTCATGTTAACTTTGAAACAATACGAACGATAAACTAATCGAGGAAAAAGTTTTTCGTTTCTTTGGGAAATCCATCTAATCTAATCGGATTAGAAGCCGATTTACGTGACAAATGTCAATGTTAATCTAATTGAAAGTTAATTTCTTCGGACAATTAATTTAGTCTTTTTGTCAATTTGTTAACCTTTATTTAGTATCATTGCAATAATTAAATGGGGGAATATTAGGAGATTTAATTAACGAAGCTAATCAATGGTTTCCAATTGATGAAGATGGATGGAGTTTAATTGTAATTTATTTCGAGTGATGGTCAAGGTGATTACTCTTTCTTTTCTTTCTTTCTTTTGTTTTTGTGTGAATGGTCAAGAGATGGTCAGTCTTATGGATTTTTTTTCGTTTCATTTGGATTGATTGGTTTGGTCACTTCGATCATTTCATCTAATTCTTTAATTCTCTTCTCAATATCAGCATTTTCTTCATCAGAATTTCCTTGATCTGATAATGTTTCTTGAGAATCGGATGCTTGAGATTCATGACCTTCTTCAATTTCAGATAGACGAGCAGCTTCATCACGAGCAGCCGATTCGATTACCTCAGCATCTCGACATTCTGATTCCAATTTTTCAAATTCCATCAATGAATTGACCGATAAACTATCGTCACCTTGACTTCCCTTACCATGTAAAGGTTTACCTCCAATCGAACCGAAAGAACCAATTGAATCAGATGACCCATGGTGAGAAGGTCGGACACCATGAGCTACCTTAGAAGAAGTAACTTCAGCTTCTAATTTCTCAAATTCTTGTAAAGATGATCCCGTCGATGAACCTTCATGTGAACCTTCAGCAACCGTAGTAATATGTCCAGTTATTATCGATGAAACTGGAATAGGTTTTGACCGATCAAAACCTAAGGTCATCGGTCGATAATCATCACTAGAAGTTGTATTATTATTAACATTGGAAACATTTTTCGATGAACCAGTAATCAAACCAAATTCATCTTCCTCTTCTTCAATTCTTCCTAATTCAATCAATCCTTCAATTGGATTACCTGTTAGTCCATTTCCCGATGAGTGACCTGTTAAGGGTGGGAGAAAAGGGGTCAGTGGTGGAGGCATATTAACATCGCTCACAGAAGGAGTCATGACCATGCACATATCGGTATCATCTGAACAGGGCGATTTCTCTTCCCATGTGTCGTACATTCCCATTGATGTTCCAACGACAACATTGGAACCAAAATCAGCCGGTGGAATCGGTGATTGAGGTCGAGTTCCGTCACCATCAGAGAAAAGTTGAGTGTCATCACTTCTCTGAGTGAGGGTTTCACCTCCCGATCCTTGGCATGGTATTTCTGGACTTAAATCGTAAGATAATTGGTGTCGAGTTTGCTCCGATAAAATTGACGATGCAACTGAAGATTGTGAGATTAACGGTGTATCATTTGCAGCCGCTTCCGATGGGATCTCGTTTATATCGTTGACCGATGATAATGAACCACCTAAATTATCATTTCCATGTTCAGGTAATCGTAAACCTGGTGAAAAATCATCTAAAGATGAACGATCAACATCGTAACGTTCAAAGTCTGAAATTTCAACGGCATCTGATCCGGAAACAAGAGCTAGCATTTCCGGTGAAGATGATGTTACTATCGTTGTTGTGGTCATTGTTGTAATTGTTGTTATCGAAGTGACAATTTGATTGCTGGTTAAATTTGTCGTCAAACTGTGACCTTGACTTTCCAGCGATGACAACGCATCACCAGTACCAAGATTATTATCACTTGACTGTCCAATCAGATCAAAACTATTGATTGAATCAGTTAAACCGGAAACTTGACCACTGCCACCATTACCTCCAAACCGATCGGAAAGTTGACCTCCCGTTGAACTTTCCAATGAACTGTTACCCATTCCGACAATGGTACCAAGGGATGAGGATAACCATGTTGCCGAGCCATCTGAAATAGAGGGTTGATCATTATCATCAAAACCACTTCCCTGAGATGTTCCTGATTTAATTGTTGTCGTGATTGTGGTTGTCGTTGAGACTGTTGAGATTGTCGCTGATGTTGACGTTTCCGTTGATTCTGTCGGTAAACCAGGAACTGCTGAAACTTTTTCACCTAACATTTTCTCGGGTGTTTCCTCCATTAATTCAGTAATCTGTTCACTAGAAATGGGAACTATTTCAAATGGACTTGATGGATTTGATTGATTCTCAGGTTTCTCAATCAACTCCCAATTACAACTTCCACTCATTAACGGAGCCTCGATTTCACTTCTAGTAACATCTTCCGGTATAATTGATTCATAAGACTCTTTAACCAGTGAAGAGTTTAAATCGTTGATAACTGGAGTTAATGATCCATCTTCATCTTCATCTTCCTCATCTTCATCATTATCTTTGGCTGATTTTCCAACACCAATTGAATGATTGGCATTATTTTCAGCCTGAGGAACGGGAGTTTGACCATCATGGGCAAAGTTTCCCATCATTAAAGTTTCACTTGTCTCAGAATCGGTATAATTAAAGGAATGATCTGAATCGACTGAGATTGTTGATTCTCGTGAAGATTTGGCTGTTACATATGAGGTTGATTCCCTGAAGTGGCCGCTTGATTGGCACTAATGTAACTTGAGCTTTCCTGTGATGTGGCAGCAGTCTCATACTCTGACCCTGATGGGCCTGTCCATGAACCTCCATGACCATGGCCGAAACCTGGAACCAGATGATCAAATTCTGATGATGTTGGTCTTGAACTTCCGGGTGATTGAGATAAACAAGAGACAAATTTTCTGTCACTTGATGTCGGAGTTGAAGATAAACTTGCACCAGTAGCACTTAAACTCGCCAATCTATCCGAGTCCGTGGAGAATCTTTGATCTTTCCCTGATCCTGAGCTTCCAAAATCACCATCACTCTGATTTCTATTAGTTTTAACTCTCATTTTAACAATCGGTTCACCGTCACTCGAAATTTCATCTTGTTTAATTGTCGTCTCAGATTTAATTCTCTCCTCTGTTGTTCTAGTCTCAGTTATCAGATATTCTTGACCATCGGCATCAACAATTATCTCTGAAGTTTCATGTTTCTCAATTCGAAACTTTTCTGAACTTTCAGAATCTTGGATTAGCTGAAATTCTTCCGGTTGATTAGTTGACTTTTCACCTGATTTTCCATCATCATTTTCTTTCAATTGTTGTTTATCTGTTTCTTCCGTTGCTGTTGATAGTTCATCAGATAATTCAACTAAATCTTCATCCGATATTTCAACTGATTCAATGATTTTCAGTGGCGCTTGTGATTCAATTTTCTCTTTAACTTGGCCTACAATTTGGTTCGCTAATTCTCGTGCTTCTTTCTTTAAGGAAGTAGAATCGGTTGATTCACTTTTATCAATTTCTTCGTTAATTTTTTCCTCCAATCGAACCTTCATCCCGTTAGAGGTCATCTCACTGACCTCATCTTGGATCTCAATTGAATGCTGGTGAATCGTTGTCTCCCAAACGACAACATTTTCCTCTATCTCACTTGCAGAATGAAGCTGAGACGAACCATGGTGGACAATTGTTGACGATTTATCATCACAATCAGCTGACAATTTATTCTCATTTTGTAATAAATCAGTTGAAGTAATGAAAACAGTATCAACATCATCATCATTTTGATTATCTATCAAATCTTGTTTACTTTTTACTAATTGTTTACTATTAAAATCATCCAAGGAACCATTTTGACCTTGACCTGGAGAATCAGAATATTCGACCCGTTCACTTTCTAACTGTCTCATTATTTCATCGTCCAAAGCCTCCGAATCGGTTATCGGACTACCAAGCGAAGGTCGAGTTGAAGGTATATCATTGGTCTCATCTCGAACTATCTCAAACGGACTAACAGCACCATCATCAAGCTCTTCTCGAGAATCAATCGTATCCGCACCCTCGAAGGCACTATTATCAAAAGCCATCATTGATTGACCAGTTTCGATTATCACTTCATCAGTATAATCAACTGATTCACTTTCTAATTTATCACCTTTTCTTTTCATTATCATATCAGTCGAGTCAATATCATTTCTATTATCATTTTCGATTGGCTTTGAGTTAACTTCCGTCGGTGGAGAAGGACCAACCTTAACCTTAACTTCCGTTGTTAAATAATCAGGAAAATCACCATTCGGTGATATAATCTGTTCCATTGATGTTTTATCAACAATTTCCGGTGAAAAGGGTTCAACTAATTTGGAAACATTTTCTTGGTCATAATCAACAGTTAAATCTGGTTCACGAGGAGATAAACTTCCGTTTAAATTGTCACCCGCCTCAGGCTTAATTAAGGAAGATAATCTATTCTCAGTGGATTTGAAGTCAACATTATTATCCATCAATGATTCACTGATTGTTGTAGTGGTGGTGGTGGTGGTTAATTGGGACGTGCAAATTTGATTCACTTGACGTGCGTCTGTTAATTGTTAATTTGGTTAACAAACAATTAGAAAACAATTTGTTAGTATTTTTCATCTAATCAATTAGTAAATTTATCAAGTAAATATAATAAAGAAATTAGCTCGTTAATTGTTGGCAAATTGTGATTAAAGGTTATGAGGTTAGTTAATGTTTTTCTCATTGATTGTGATTTAATTGTAACAATTAACATGCAACTTTTTTTTTGTTTAGTCTTTAAAATCAAAACGTGAATCAATTGATTAGAAAAATTAATTAAACAACAATTAACCTGTGATAAGAAATTAACAGTTACAATTAACTTGCACATTTGTTTTACTCTCGGTAATCTTAATTATTGATGATTTAAATTGATCATCAACAATTAGATTAATTGTTTCTCTCAAAATTTATCACCACAACTTAATCAACAAATAATTAATTAGATAAATAATTAAATGAAAACAAAATGAACGATAAAAATTATGAATTAATTTGATTCTTTTCACAATTAATTTAACAATAATCGATGAACAATTAATTGATTACTTTTTTATGGAATATAGTTAATTAATTACAATGATAAATTTTATAATCTTAATACTATTATAATGATAATCATTTGATTCTAGCAATTAAGTAACAATTAACAAAGAAAAAGGAAAAAAAAAAGTTTTTTTAACGATAATTAATAATTAACATGATTAACTAATTGAAACAATTAAGTAGGTAATTAAATATATTTATATTCATATATAAATTGTTTTTTCTTCATTCTTAATTATCGTAATTACTTAATTTGATTAATGACAAATCTAAACAAATTGTGTTGATTAAATCAACAATTGAAAAAAAAAACTTTAACCAGATACCAATTGAAATGATTATAATACTTAATTAATTGGACTAAATTGTCACAATTAACTGTTACATTGAAGCAATTACAGTTTACAGAGTTAATTGTAACTTATTTAAAGTGAAACTTTGATTGTTAATTGTTTAACTGATTGTTAACTTAATTTAATTACATTATCCTTGAATAACAATTTCCGGTGGAATTAAAATTTTTAATTGTTATGATTAAAACTATTCACAGTTTCCGTTGAGATTAACTAACCAACATTTGAATACTATTAATATAATTAGTTGGTTAATTGTTAAATTAAATGGTTAAGTAACTAAATTAAGATAATGATTTGTTGTTGTTAATTAAGGTTTTGTCGATCGTTTCAAACTCTTACAACCTTCAACAATTAAGAATCTAATTGTGATCACCTCGAGGTGATGAACCTTTTTCTTGATTGTCCACTTGCAATTAAGGGTTTATCATGATTGGAAACTTTAATTGTTGATTCAGTTCGAGACCAATTAGATCGAGCTCGAACTATTTTCCATTCTAAATCATTTAGATACGATTTTGAATCAGTTAAATTAATATAAGATCGACTAATTGTTAATCGATCGTAATCATAATTAGCTAATTTCTCACTGGATATGTAATAGTCTCTGGTTGATGATAAATTTGATCTTAATTGTGATTGATTAACCGATCTTATTGGTGAGATATTCTCAGAACCATAAGTTAAATTCCAAGTTGAATGATAATCGGAATCACAATTAACCGATGAACAATTAAATCCAATCGATGGAGGGGAAGATGATTCTCGACGTCGAGCTCCGTAATTAACTAATTTAGTTGAATTAAATCTCGCAGGACGATAATTAAACTGGTTAATAGGATTAGAATTTATAATTGGACCTAAGGTTCGTAGATAAGCATTACTTGTATTGTCTTGGGTTAATTGTTTCGATTATGATTAAGGTTAATTGTTGTTTTCTCGAAACGATTTAGATCTTGGACTGACGAATAGTATGAAGTTGATTTATACGAATTCGCTGGACGTGATCTAAATGATTCGATGCCATGGTTAGAGTTAATTGTTCGAGTTCGTTGTTTTCTCTCATCACAATTAAGATCACAATTGATGTTAAATGAACTTGTGCTCTTACGAATCGATGTTGATTCATAATAATCAGCTGATTGTCGAGATCTTCGTTGAACATTTCTCGAAGGTCTCGATGTCATACTCATCTCTGATAGAACTTGAGTTCGCTTTCGATTTGGCCTGTTAATTGTTCGAGAAGTTGATTGTAATAATGAAATATCGGGGCAACTATGGTAAATATAATCACATTCAATTTCTTTCCAACGTTTTCGACAATCAGATTTAAATTGATTGATTCGATCGCGAATTGAATTAAAAAGAGCCGAATAATCATTTGAAGAGTGATAATTAGAATGAATATTTTTCCTCCCATAATCACAATTAACTGATTGTGGTCTTTTCATGTAACGATGTGAACTGTAATCAAGTGAACGAATCATTCTGTTTCTATCAATCGATAATGAACTTGATTTGAAATCAAATTTTCTTGATTCAATTAGAGAACCATAGTTGGATTTATAATCATTTTCTTTCCAACGATTTAAGGGTTGACTTAATTTAGTTGAATTGATTGTTTGATTATAAATATCGTTCAACGATTCATATGAACGACGGAAAGACTTGACGAAACGAGAATTGGTTAAATTTTGATTGTAACAATCAAATCGACTCAATCGATTTGATTGTTCATCAATCAATCGAGATGATGTAAACAGTTTCAACGATTGATCGTTTGACTTTGAATGATTGTAATAATCAGATGAATTAATTGTATCTCAAAGGTCTTGATTGCTGTTGATTGTAATTGTAATCATTTCTTGGAATGGTAATTTTAACATCTCTTGATCTTGATAAGGATCGATGTCGATTCGTTGTTCGAGGTAAACTTGGAGGTCGACGGCTTGGACTCATTGGAGGTATTAAATCACGTCGAGATTGACCTTTAGTACCAGAATCCGAGTCATAATTAACAATTTCTACCTTAGAGTCAGTTAATTGTGATCGAGTCAAGTCATTTCTAACTCGACTTTCAATCGGCTCTCTCTTACTTGAAGTTAGTCCACTCGAAAGTGTCTCAAGTGATCGACCCTCTTGTTCAGTTTTCGACATTTCAGTTTTACGAACCGACTCTTTCTCTGTTAATTGTGACTTGATCATTTTCTTAGTTGGACTTTTACTTGGCTCTTTCTTTTTTCTGATCACTTCTTCGCTGTCAAATTGCTTGTTAATTGTTGTCTTATCAATAGGCTCTGATTGCAGTTGATAAGAATCATCTAATTGTTGAGTGTCACAAGTTAAATCGCCTCTGGATTGAGGCTCTTTCTTGATTGTTGCTGATGCAAAAGCTTCAGTATCTTTTTTGCTTAATGTCTTTGACGATCTCTTAACATTAATTTTCGTATTCACATCGTTATTAGTTGATGACTTTCTCCTAATTATCACCGATTCTTCATCAGATTCGTCATTTCTCTTGATCGATTCTTTTCTCAACTCTAATGGACTCGAAATCGGCATTTTCCAAGTTAAAGCTCCACCAATAAATGGTATTCTAATTTGATTATCTGATTCGATTCTATTGATTTTCGCTTCTCATCATCAGTAATTAACTTTTTACTCTTTACAAGATTATCACTTTTTTCTGAAATTCTTACAGAATTATCTTCATCTTGAATTGGAATCGATTCAGTTGAATCTGATTGTTTCTCTGGTGATTTAACAGTAGTTGATTCTTTCGGTTTGATTGATGATTTTCTAATCCCTTTCTTAACCTTTTCAACTTTAGGTTTACTTGGTTTCTCTTCTGGATTAGATTCGACTGATTTATCTTTTATCTTTTCGAGATTATCCATATTATCTTTGATTGATTTCTCTTCAATTGGCTCACATTTCAATGTTTCTTCATTTATCATCGTTTCTTTCACTTGATTAGTTATTTTCGATCCCTCATCAACTTTATCATACGAATCATTAGATAAACTGCTTTTCGCTGATATTGATTTTCTATTTCCGTCTGAGGATTTCTGGTCATCACTTTGAGCTTCCTTAATCATAATCTTCTTATCTTCCTTGTCTTCCTTGGTTACATCACTCATCTCACTGAGATTGTCCCTTTGGGGAGATTTATTTATCTTCTTTGTTGTCTTATCTTCAGCGATACTAGTCTTTTGGGTATCTCTTGATTTCTGATCTGATTTTTGGGTGTTTTCCTCAGGATGAGGTTCATCTCTCACTTTGGAATCGTCATGAACCTTGAGAACAGGATCTATCTTTAGATTTGACTCATGAGCTGAATTTTCAGACTCTTTCTTAATAGAAACTTGATCTCTAATTGTTTCAGATTCGGTTTTGTTAATCATTGATGAATCGACAGGTTTAATTACTTTAGAACTGGCAACTGATGATTTCAAATTTTCCTCTGATTTTGTAGGTAAGTTTTCAATTACTTTCGATTGGGTCTCAGTTTTCGTGGAATCAGAATCAATTTCAATCTTTTCATTGTTCTGATCAATCGACAATTCAGCAACTTTTGATACAATTTTCTTCGCGTCAACTGATTCTGATTTTTCTGAATTTAGCTCAGTAACAATGATTTGATCTTTCTCAGCTTTGTTTGTATCTTTTTCCAAAATCGACTTGATATCATCGAGTTTTCTATCCTTAGACTCAACCTTTCTTTTAGTTTCGACTTTCTCATCTACAGATTTAATATCATCGCGTTTTGGAGAGACCTGTTTGGTAGATTGATCGATTTTTCCTCTTTCATTTGTACTTCACCTTTTTCTAATCGTGATTTTGATTCTGGTTCTTCATCTTTAACGTTTTGATATTCACTGTTATGATCTAACGGTTTATCTTCATGGATAATACTCGATTCAGTTACCATGTTTTCTGCTGATTTCTTTGGAATGACTTCATTTTCAGTTGGTTTTTGTCGTTCTTATCAATTTCATCGGTTGAAATCTTTGTCTTTTTAGTGGGTTCGATTGTAGATTTATCGGTTTTGGCTTTGCTTTTTTCTTTTGATTTTTCTGAAACTAAACTTTCGGCTTTTTCGATAACCTTATTATCATTAAGTTCTTGAGAATCGTTTTGTCTAACCTTCTTTTCTTCAGCTAATTTTTCATTGCCACTGAATTTTGATGAGCATTTCTCATCATTTCTTTTATCTCCATCTTGTTGTGTTTCTTTAGTCTCATCAATCTGAACTTCGGGCAAGATTATTTGTTCGATAGCTTCAATATTCTGTCTTTCAACTTTTTCTCCGATATTTTTATCAGAACTTTTAACCTTCTCCTCTAACTTATCATCAGTTGCTTCAATTTTAATTTCATTGACAATTGATTTATCTTCAATCAGCTGAGTTGGTTCAAGTTGAACTTTCGATTCTGTTTGGTTTGAATCTGATAGAACTTCAGATTCTTCTGGTGTAATCAATTGATCAACATTCAAGAGAACCGTCGGTTCGAAACTAGTTATCTCAAGTAAATTATCAAGTTCGATTCCTATCGAATCTAGATGAATACAATCTACATCATCTTTTGGTGAAATTTCAGCTGATTCAGTTTCTTTTTCAAGTAATTCATCATCAACATGAGATTCAACTAAACGAATGCTGATCTCAGAGGATCGATGAAGAAGATTTTCACTTCTCTTCATATCAGTAATTACTTTAGAATCGTAAGAGCTTTCGAATGGTTCATTCTGGTGAACTGTTTCGAACTCAAGTTCGTCTGAGTCAACATTTAATTCGTTATTAATTTTAATCGAATTTCGTTTCTCCTCTAATTGTTTCTCCTTATTTTTGCTTCAAGTTTATCATTAGTTTTCGAAATTTCTTTTGACTTTTGAACGATTTTCTCATGCATATGAGAGTCGATTGATTCACTATCACCAAGGCTTAATTGTGATTGATTCTCTTTTGGTTTAATCATTTCATCCTTTTCCTTGATTGCTTTTTCTTTCTCAATTATACTCTCATCTTCGTTCAGCTCAGCTTTAGCTTGTTCTTCAAATTTCTTAGCAATTATCTCGGCTTCATGGTCAGCATCTAAAATCGGGCTTAATAGTTCCTCCGGCGATTTAGCTTGACTTACATCGACTTTTGGTTTAATTGTTTTCTTTGATCTCGCAGATCTTTGAGGTTCATCACTAACTAATTCGATGACTGATTGAACTGTTTCATTTTCTTCCAGGGCTTCAGGGTCTTTAGACTTTTCCTCAATCATTTCTATCGTTTCAGTCTCTCGATCTATCGATTTTTTCGGCTCACTTTTAACTTCGAAAATAATTGGTTCACTGGGTTGATACAATTCTGTTGTTTTCTGCAATTCAATCTTTCCAGCAGACTTTTCTTCATTGGAGATGGTTGATTTTTCATTATTAATATAATCTGATATACTGAATTCACTCTTAACTTGATTATCGATCTCAACCAATTCTGTATGAACATTTGATTCTATTTTTTCTTGGTGTTTCATGATGTTAGATGAACTTTTATTGGGTTGGGTAGTCGATGAGCTTTCGCTAATCTGAGATTCATTGATTGTCTCATTGAGTTCTTTGTGGTCAGATGTTTCTTTGTTTAGGTCATCAACTGAATCGATTGAATTTTCTTCACATTGATATGATTTCTCATCACTTAGTTTATCGATTCTTTCATTTTGATATTCGTCAAGTTCTGGGTCAATAATTTTCGTGGTAACTAATGGCTCGGATTCTGCATATGTTGAGAAAACTTTTTCATGGTCTTTCATAGTATCCTTTAGATCGTCTCGGGCACTAGAATTTTCACTGATTCTTGCAGTTTCTTTCTCAATGTGATCGGTTTCAACTCGAATTTCTAATTTTTCAGAATCAGCGTACATTATGTCCGTTGAAACTATTCCAACACTATCTGATTTCTGGATAAGTTTCGATTCTTCCACAACATTGTTGACTAGAACTTGTTCTCTTTCATCCTTCTCAATTTGTGAAACAATTTCCTGTTGATCTAAAATCGATGTTGATTGTTTAGGCTGACCAACTGATTCGAGGATCTTTGAAGCCTTGCTAGCTTCTTCTTCAAGGAAACTTAAATCATCTTCACTTGAAGCAAGTGGATTTGGTGAATTACTCAAAATCTCAGGTGATTTATCGACTGTTTGTTGATCTTTCGAAATGAATTCTTTACTGTCTGTTGTTTTTTGTTGATTTTCTCCAGCTAGAGCATCATTCACATTTACAACTGTAATTACTGATTCAGATTCCAATTTGGAAGCAAACACTGTATCTGTTTCTTTCGTATCAATATTTGTCGGAGTAACGGAGCCTTCTCTTGTTTCGACCGACCCTCGCTCATCGTATGAAGGTTCAGCTCTATCTTCTGACGATTTTCTGTCAGTTTCATGAAGCTCTTTGACTTCATTTTCTAGTTTCATTTTTGATTGCAAATTCACTTCAGAGTTTGCAAGAGCTTTTTCAGCTTCGATTTCAGTATCAGTTGCATCAATAGATTCACACAAATGGCCTGACTGTGGATCAGTTGATTTTCTCCTTCTAACTGTTGCAAACTTATCTTCATCTTGAACGTCAGAATCTAAATCATCCAGGTCAAATCCATTTTCTTCAAAATACTCAAGCACATCTTTGAATTCGTCAGTTCTACCAGAGACCTCTGATTCTTCCGATTGATCAATAGATTCCCAGATATCGATACTTTCACCTTCATCACTCGACTCAACAATCTCAGTAGATAATTGCTTGGTTGTTATCGAACCATTAACAGCATAATTAACAGAACTCTCTAACTCTAAAGACGTTTCAGTTTTGGGCGATTCAAATTCAAGAGATGAAGTTAATGAGGGTTCCAAATGCTCAACAACGAGAGTTTCTATTTCATCGACAAATTCAGATTTCTCAGTAAGGACTTGATCCTTAACCACAACTTCTTTGCATTGATCATTTGAAACACTCATGTCAGATTCTAATATAATTGTATTCAGTTGATCTGTTGCGATTTCAGCAACCGACTCAATTATCTCAGTAGTTGGTTGATTGATTGTCAAAGAATCAGTAGCTTTCTGATCGACTATAGTTCCTAAGATTATTGGTTCATCTGCCGATGTAAGTAAATTAAACGAAATAGGATCTGATTGGAGTTCATATTCCTCAGTAACTTGTGTCTTAACTGAACTTTTCTCTCTCATATTATCATTGGCTTCGAATTCATCAACATTGTTATTCGACTCGATTCGAGCGTCGATTGAACTTGATTGGGCATCAACAAGCATTTCTTCAATATTTGACATCAAATTTGATTCGGTAAGAACGATATTTGTTAACTCATTTGATTCCTCAATTGATATAATTGTATCAACAGTTGATTCATCTCCGAGTGATTTAAAATCTTCAACAAAACTTTCCGTATATTCACATTGGTCAGCCAATTGGTCTTCAAAACTTTGGGTGATTGTGTCAAGCTCATTGATTTCATCATCTACAGATAAATTAAACGTAACTGGTTCTGATTTGAGCTCACGATTCTCAGTAGTTTCTGTTTTCATTAGGCTTTTATCTTTCAAGTTATTAACGACTTTTGATCTCTCATTATCAACATTTGGATCGATTTGAGCGTCTACAAGATTTGATTGAGCTTCGCTAATCATTGAGTTAACTGATTTAATATCATCCGTTGCATACGAGATTTCATCTTGACCAGTTTCTTCAAGATCTCTGAGACAATGTTCAGATTCATTCACTGGTAAAATAACGGCTTCCGATGAATCGATTGGTTTATCTTCACCCATATCACCCTTCACTTTATCACAGGCATTGCTTGTAATGGTAACATCAATAGGTTTGGAATCTGAATCAGGTTCATTGATATTTTCTTCGAGCTCATTTTTAGACTCAAGAAATTCTGATTTCAACTCATGAGTGAATTGAGTCTCCGTTTCTTCAGCCGATTTGACTACAGAATTATCAATAGTAATTGTTTCAAAAGCATCTGAGAACTTTTAACAGCAGATTCAACATTAGTCTCGTTATTAATAAGAGATAGATTTTCAGTCGGTTCAGAATCTATCATTTTCTCATCTGACTTTTGTTCATTCAAAGATTGATCATCGATATGCTTTTCATCATCTAAAGTTTCAATTGTATCAGATTTTCTTGTCAGTTTCACATCATCAATCTCATGTTTGTCAATAGAAGTTCCTTGAGATTCTGAAACAGTTTCAGCCTTAGGTGATTGAAATTCAAGAGATAAAGACAATGAGGGCTCTAAATGCTCAACGACAAAAGTTTCAATTTCATCAACGATTTCAAATTTCGGAGAAAGGATTTCATCTCCAGCACCATGTTGATCGACTGAAACACTCATATTAGGTTCTAACATAATTGTTTTCAGTTGATCAGTTTCAAGCTCAGCACTTGATTCAATTATTTCAGTAGTCGATTGATTAATTACTAACGAATCAGCAACAACTTGGTTAACAACAGTTTCTAAAATTTTCAGTTCACCCATTGGTGGAATTAAATCAAACGGCTCTGAATTGAGTTCATATTCCTTATTAACTTGTGTCTCAACTGAACTTTTCTCTCTCATACTATCAACAGCTTCGGACTCATAATCGTTAACATGAAATTCAGTTTGAGTGTCGCCTGAATTTGATTGGACATCGCTCAGCGTTTCTCCAGAATTCGATATCAAATGTGATTCTGAAAGAACAGCATCTGATTTAAGTTCATCAGTAATTTCTGTCATATTATCAACAAGCTCCGGTTCCTCATCATCAAAACTATGAACAATTTGAATGCCCAGAGGATTTGATTTAGCCTCATGGATCATCGAGTCCACTGATTTAACATCATCCGATAAATTGGAAATAGCATCTTGCTCAATTTGTTCATCATGGATTTTCAATTCATCAACATTTTCAGGCTCGAACTGAATGTCTATTGTATTTGATTGAGCGACTGATTGTGCTTCGCTAATTGTTTCGCCAATATTTGCTTTCAATGGTGATTCTCTAGTAATAACATTTTGTGACTCATTTGATTCCTCAATTGTGTCAACAATTAACGCATCTCCGTGTGATTTAAAATCTTCAACAAAACTTTCCATATATTCACATTGGTCAATCAATTGGTCTTCAAAACTTTGGGTGATTGTGTCAAGCTCAGTGATCTCATCGAATGTACATTCACCGTTTTCGTTTGCGTCAATTTCATCAATAGTTTTCTCATCATCGAAAACATCATCATCCATATCTTCATCAATTAGTTGATCTAATGTCTCATCTTCATTATCTTCTTCCGGTTCATCTTCCTCATTCGAACCACTAGTATTCAAAGAAGATGATTCAGCTACTTCATCATCTTCCAAAGTTTTCACTTCGGTTAAAGCAGTTGGTCTATTAAGAATATCGAGAAGTCGAGCTTTCAATTTATTGGCCTCGGTCGATATATCGAACGATTCAATTGGATCTTGATGCAAATCGTCAGCAATAAATGTTAATTCATCATATTCGTCTGAATCTAATGATTCAGTTCTTCTCATCATCATTTCTCTCAAATCATCGAATTGTGATTGAATTTGATTCGATCTTCCAACTTGGCTCAAATTCTGTAAGGGTTCAGTTTCATCCACCAAGTGATCTGATCCTCCATCAACGATAGGCTCTTGGGTCAATTGTTCGTCCATTAAGTTATCATGGTCGTTTCGATAATCGTTAGTTTCTTTTGAAACTCTCATTTCAATCAACGATGGCTCGAGCTCTGTATAAATTACTGATTTATCTGATTCGATTGAATTGATTGATTCAAGGGAAGAAGATGATTGTAATGTAGCAAATGAATTATCATCAGATGAAAATGGAATCGCTGTTTTATAACTAGAACTCGACTGGTCGGTAACTGCTGTATCGTATTCGGAACCTGATGGACCAAATTTACTCGAAACTTCACCTCCGTCAGATGAACTTTTCCTTTCAGAATTTGTATCATCACTAATTGCTCGAGATAACTCATCTTCATCAATATCGAACTCTAATGAGCGCCTATGGACAGATTTCTCGTTTCTTTCGATTCCAATCGAGTCTAGTTCTCCATCGACAGAAGAGATTATTTCATTTTCTATCAAACTTTCAGGTAAGTTAACTTGATCTGGATCGAATAATCAGAACTTGTTATTTCAGTGGAAACATTTCCTGGTGTAAAGACAACCTCAGAATCTATTGTAATTGAGTCAAACTTGAGGGACGAAGTCATCAAAGAGCCATCAAAGTTATTCTGCCCACGATCAAGACCGATACTCGACTTTGGCTCAGTAGCTTGAGCAATTTCATCTGAACTTTCAGTAGAAAGTACAATTGATTTTGCCGGTACATTAAAATCATCGATATCAACATTTTCTATTGGAATATCATCGATTTCTTTTCCATGTTTAACTTCATCTCTGATTTCTGGTTCATCTTCAATTCTGATCGTAACTAATTCAGATTCAGGCTCAGTTTTACTCGAAGTACTTTGAACACCCTCAGGATTCATCATGAGACATTCAATCGTTTGGGGATAACTGAACTCGCATCCAATGTCCAAGCTTTTCTTCAACGAGACAATATCTTTACTTTCCAATGTCGATAATGATTCTAATTGGGTTGGTAACTTGTTCAACATTTCATTTGGTTCAATTAGATTGTTGTTCTCGTCATACTGATTTGTTGTATCTTCGGAAAGTTCATCAATCGCTTCATCGGACAAAACACTTGGTCGATTCAGGAACGAAGCAATTTTATCCTTGATCGCTCCTAATACTTGACTAGCATATGTTGAAGTTTCATTTTTCATTTCGATCTCTTCCCTGTAATCTTCATAATCTGGTTCGATACTTTCAGATGATTGTTTCCTCAATGATTTTCTACCCTGATTCTGTACTGAAACCCCACAAGGAACCTCAAGATCAGGCTCGATTGTTTCATCATATTGTTGACTCTCAAATCCATAGTACCAATCAGGATTATCTTCATATTGATCTTGATCAATCTCAGGATCATATGAAGAAACCATTTCATTTATCTCAGCATTTAGCTCATCAAAGTTAAGCTGATCATCATCATTGTCATCTAAAAGTTCATCCATTTGCCTTCTGATTGAAATCGAGTCGAAACATTGTTTCATGGGTTCTATCACCATGGAAGCGTCTTTTTCATCGTCAATATTAGATGAGATCAAATTATTATTTTCATCAAATTGTTCTGAAAATAGTTTAGTCTCACTGATTTTCGGTTCTTGTTCAGTAATTTCAGAATTTTCTATCCTCATTTCTTCAGGAAAATAATTATCTACAAATAGATTTTCTGATGGCTCGAAGCTTGTTGATGGAACTGAACTTTTATCGACAGTTGAAACGAACTGATTTTCTGGGTGTAGAGCCGAAGTTGATTCGATTATTTCATTCGATGAACTTTCTTGATGTTCACCAGAATTTGATTCAATTGATTTGATTTTTTGAAAGAGGGCTTGTTTAACTTTCGGTGAGCCATATTGACTCAGTATCCAACAATAATCTTGCTCATTATCCACTGAATCTTCATGACTTTCATCAGGAATATAAACAATTGGAGGTTCAGGTATTATGTATGATGGATAATTCATAATCTCACTGAATTTAGGTTTAATCACTTTATCAACTGTTTCTTCATATTCATCAACTAATTCAACTGAATCATCAAAATAATCAGATAAAGATTCGTATTCAGACTGAGATTCAATCTCTTCATTATTTGCACGCTTATCGACTTCCTCAGGAACCTTAGATTCTGAATTGTTCAATGTTTCAACGAGACAATTAGAATATTCAAATTCTGACGAGATAATTTTATCACTTTCGCTCAAACATTCCCCTAAATCTCTAGTTCTGAGTTCTGAAGTCTCGAATGCTTCTGTTTGTTCAAATCTATCGTCAAAAGCGAACTGTAGTTCACTCGAAGATCTTTTGTTCGGGGTTGATCTTTCTTTCGATCGAGTTAAAAGTCCAGGTTCAACCTGAGAATTTAGAATCGCTCTGATTTCCTCAACCATCTCAGCCTCATCATCTTGATAATCAAATTCAAGTGATTCTTGAGTTGACATGATTGAACGTTCATCATGTTGATCCATCACTTTGTCAACTTTTTTCTCCTCAGGGCAAATTACCTTCTTGACTTTTTTAACCTTTACCTTTGGAAAACTCAGTTTGCCATCGATAATTTCAACGGCATCAAGATCAGTTTCAAGATATTTTGGCATGGAACTGAGTTCAAGTTCATCGGTTTGTGAGCCTGTTGATACAACTGAACCTTCACTAGATGATGAATGCTTTGAATGTGATCTTGAGGTACGATTAGCAAGTCGATCTTGGATCACTCTGAGATTATCAGATTTATCTGCAATTTCACCTTCATCATCAGATAATCTGTTATCCTTACAATCATTTGAAGTATCAGATGAGTGAGAGTGACTACCTCGGTGAACTGATAGGCTATTAGGTTTACCGTTACATGTATATCTTTGTTCATCACTATTCCAGCCATCATCATCAAGCCAAGGAATATCATTCCCTTTATATAATATACAGGGAGGAGCTGAGCTTGATTCTTCTGATTTTTCATTTCCCTCCTCACAAGCCAATTCAGTTGTTAGAAGAGCCAATTCTCCGGCTACCAAAGCCATTAGACCTGTTTCAATGGCTTCATTTGCAGCGATTAAATCTTGATACCTTTGCAGTTCACTTGATGACATTTCATCAGAATCTGAATCAACATCTTCACCAACAGATTCAAACTCAGATTTCAAACTATCATCATCTAAATCATCAATATCAAAATACTCTTCGGAAAACAATTCTCCCTCTGAAGTTGTTGTTTGAGTCGCTCTATCAGCGGCCCAACTTGCATTAGTTAACCGACAATCAGCTGACATTAGATAAGAATCATCGTCAATTGAATCACGGAAAGTTGAAACTGATGGACGTCGACGATGTCCACCAGTCTTACTGACCCATTCAATGATCGAACTACTTTGAACACTATCGATTTCAGGTGAATCGTATCTATGGAAAGGTTCATTATCATTCCAAGAGGGATTGAGAAATGAAACATTGGTCTGAATAGATCGACTTATTAGACCAAATTGGAAGGTTGTCTGAGTTGAAACACTTCGAACATCAACTAATCGAAACCATGTATCTTTGGTGAGAATATTTGAAGGATTAAGGAATGAGGGAGAAGATGAAGATGATAACTTATTGGAAGTGAATGGAAGCCAGTAAGGAATTGGAACAGAGGATAAACCAGGAATGGAAGGAGAATCTAAATTAATTAAACCTGATTCAACGCAATCAACTCGAACCATCTCAATGGAATAGAAAAGTACACGTTCGAGACTCGATTCGATAAGTGATCTAATTAACTCTCTACCGATATAATAATACTTTGGGTAACCCTTTTCATTTGGTATCTTAATTAAAGCGATTTCAATTGCTTGACCAATCAAATCAAAACCTTCAGGGGTTAATATGTTTTTCATTGATCTCCAATTGATAAGATACTTTTGCTGTTGGTTGATTGTTGTCAATGGTGAAGATATTTGTTGATTGAGTGTGGTGGCAATTGATTGATCTTCACTTAACTTACCAACAAGTTCATCGATATTATAACAATTATCATTCTCATTCTGATTATCATTATTGACAGAAGACGACGAAAGGCCAACAACATCATCTCGAAGTGATCGACTAAATTGCTGCCTAAGTGGACTTGGACATCTTTCAATTGGATCAGGACCTTTCCACACTTTGTAAACAACTAAACTTTCCGATGGCGATTCGTTGGTTGACCTGTCAACGTTTTCTTGAGGTACACGAGGTGGAGCGGGACGAACGAGAAGCCGAGCGATTTCACCGGTTTCCACGTTCACCTCATTGGTAGGAAAATCTTTCACAGAAACTTCATCTCGATTGCGAACAATTAATCGCATCGATGAAGTACCTTTACCTTGAGATGGTGATCGGAAAATTTGATCATCATAATGATTAACTTGATTTAAATTTGATTCTTTATCATCATTATCAGTTTTGCTAATATTCAACTTCAGGTATCTACTTGCAAGCTCTTGGGTTGTTGTTGTTGCTGTAGTAGCTTGAGATGCTTTTGTGGTTGTTGTTGATTCTGTGGTTATTATTTTGTTCAATTGTTTCAAATCGTCATCAACAGTTAGCTCAAGATCACTTTGAGCTAATTCAATTTCAGCTTCAAGCTCATTTAAGGCTTGAAAAAGTTGCTCTCGCGATAAAAAGTTCTGATACTCTTGGTTTCTTTCACTTGACTCATCAACGATAACATCAACATCAGAAACCTCGCAACCACTTTTGCCAATTGATTCACGATTAACAAGATTATTAAATGAATTAGAATACAAGTTACCCTTGGAATTGTTTTCCTCGTCTTCTTCCTCCTCAAGCTTTTCTGTCAATCCGGTAAAAGTCGATTGTGATGTTCCCTTTGTTCCAGTTGATCTTTGGACTAACGATGTTGAATAAGCAGTTCGAGCTTCGTCCATATTGGCAATGTCAATTGAATATGATCGACGACCTCCAGTTGCTTCAAAATAAGCTCGACGATCGTTAAAAGCTCCAACCGTTTCAACGATTTCTCCCTCTGATGGTCGACGATCATCTTTACCCATTCCACTGGTTTCGATTGATGATGAGCGACAGTAATGCGACGCAGGGGGAACTGGTTTTACCTTAGAATCGTTTGATAGTTTGGTAAAATAATCTTTCTTTTCCGAATAACTCATTTCATGGTCATCTAATTTCATCGAATCCACAATGATAGAGAGAAAAAAGAACGAAAGAAAAAAAGAGAGAAATTGATGTTTGTTGGTCGCGTCGACAGTAGTAAAGGAAGAGAGAAGGAAGATAAATGATAATTCGTGCGAGTGCCAAAGGCGAAATGGACAAAAAAACGGAAGGAAATAAAAGATTTACAATCGAAGCCATTAAATAATAATCATCAGGTAAGATTATGATTCGGTTCAGTGGATCAAATCAGAGAATCAAAATTATCAAGATTGGGTCAATTCTGTTGACGATTTAGGCTAAAATTCTTGATCTTCTAACTCTCTCAATCTGAGGAAACGGAAACATGAGTGACAGTTATGATCGAACGGGAGAAAAGGAAAAGATCGAAAAAGAAAAGTGCCAAAAAATTACTAAGTTCTGACGGAAAAAAAGTTCTAAGATGATAGTAAACTTGATATTCGACGTCAAATGAAATAATCGAAATGTTCTGATTATCGTTACCTGTGTTTTCTTGATAATTTCATGGATACAAAATCGAGGGAAATTAATTTAAATCTAATCTTTGATCTTATTGGAACTTTTTTATTTCATATATCAGATTAATCGTTAATTGGAGATTTGAACCTTATCCCAATCCAAGCGCAATCAATTTAAATAATTATAAGCAGAAATGATCAAAATCATGCGAAAAAAATGAAAACAATTAAGTGAAAATTCAAATTAAATTGAAATGCAATTAATTTTTTTTATTTCATATCAACCAAAAGGATAAATAATTGATTAAGTTGATGGGTGGATTAAGAGATTGGGAGGATAGAGAAAAAGAAAATAAAAACAATATTGGATTTAATAAGAAAATGGATTAAAATAAAATTAGAAAATCAATCCAAAGTCATGGAGGAAGAAAAAAGTTCACTGGGATAAAGATAAAGATTTAAATCCAATCTTAAAGTGATGGAGAAACTGGATTAAGGTTTTGAATTTGGTTTTCGTTGGTGGTTTTGGATAAATGGTATTGTTTTCTTAATCCCGAGCACTGGAAATCAGGTCAAAGGTTGGTTTTCATTGGAATCGTGGTGGTGGTGGTGATGATGATGATGTAAAATTCATGCTGGAAAAAAAGCAAAATGAAAGCAAAAAACAACAAAAAAAAATGGACGCAAGCAAAAGCCGATCGATGCAAACCCATTGGGACAATCATGCAAATAATAAATAAAATTGTGTCAACAATTAAAGCGCAATCAAGGTTTGCAATCAACAGGTAGATCTCAGGAGTCACCATGCACAAACAACACACCACAACAAGAGGATTGAAAGGATTAATTGGAAACAGTTATCAAGCAATTACAATGACACCAGGATTTAATTAAGGAAACGTAATCCCTTTGGCACGTTCATTACATGAGTTAATCAGAGAGATGATTAAGATTAATTATAGATAGAGAAAAAATAACAATAAGGATTAAGATGGGAAACTGAAGACGAACAGCAACAACATCACTAATCACTTTAATCTAAATTGATTGACTAAATCAACGCGATATTATTGATAAATATCCTGATGTTATTGAATAATTTGATTCCCGAGATGATGAAAGAGATTTGGATTAATCGTTTTGTTTCATTTAAGTATCAAGTTCTAATCGAGTGTTTTTATTGTTATTATTTATTACGAATACCAATTTTCTTTATGATCGGCAAGGAATGAGGTTCGATTGGACATTTGTTGGTATTAATATATTTAGTTCGTAGATACTAAAGATATTAAGGAAATGGTGACAATTTCGACAGAAAAGAAAGTAAAACAAAACAGATAAACAAATAGACAGAGAAATGTAAATGTTCATAAATCGTACGCTCATTCAACTTGCCTACAGAATCAAGCACTTCTTTTTCAATAGTTTCCATGGAACAGATTAAGGATTAAGGAGGATTAAAAGGGGATTAGAATTTTAATATTATTTTCGAATTTTGTTTTTTTTCGAATTGATAATTTTAAATTGTTCAACAAAAGACGATCGCCAAGACGGAACAAGTAAAGTGACATAATATAATATTAATAATCAATAGTTAATAGTTTTCATCGATTAATAATAAGAGATGATTAGATATTTTTAAGAGAATAGGTTAGAATTTATTTGATTAATAACACAATTAATCATTAGATGGTTGCAATTAGATTAAGGCGAAATTCATCTTCACTAAATTAGCCCAAATTGAAGCAATTTAGTTGATTAGTTTAGGGGAAACAAAACACTGAAATGGATTAGTGAAAATCTATCAAGAGGTAGAAGATTAAGAGATCGAAAAAATAATAATAATAAGCTCAATTACCTAACGATTAGTTGATTAGTGATAATTTAGACTAAAATCGATAAATAATCAATATATTGAGCACGAAATTATATTTAAAAAAACTCAAGAGATAACAATTAACTAATTGTCTATTTACTATGGATATTTGTTTTGTTCATGATTGAATATTCAGCTTTTCAGATCGTCATTTGTTTTAATTGTGATTCAAGGGGAAAAAACATAAATAATTAAGGTGATAATTGTTGTATATGTTTTGGCGTTTAAATTGTTATCATATGTGCGGATGGATTGAAGGGGATTAAAGGTGCGTAATCAAAGTTAATTGTTACGATTTGTTCATCGGGTTTAATTACTCTTTCTCTCTCTGGTTAAGTTAACTTACTTTCGTCAGCAATCAGATCACTTTTATCGTTGGTTCGTTCACAGGTTGTACTCTGCTCGATTATGTGAACAACATCACCAGAGGCTTCGGTTTCAAACCATTCTGTAAATGTACAAAGAGAAACAAAGAGAAACCCAAATGATTAGTTAATTGTCGAAATCCAATTGATTGGTTAAGTCGAGTTACAATTACAGCTTAAAGATAATATTAATTATAAGCAAAGCTGATTGATAAGCAGAAGCAAATTAGTTAACTTATATAAATCTAAACGTAATTTATATTAGTCTTTTAATTGTTTTCGATACTTTTTTTTAATTCATCTCACTTTCCAATGAACAAAGTTTTCAAATCAATTTAGTTGATTGTTTTATCATTTTCACAATTAAAAGGTGGATACTACAAATATTACACATATACAGTTTTCTTGATTAGTGTATTGTCAACAAACAAATTGATTGTTGAATCTTTCATGAAATTGATTCAACAGGATTTAAGGATAATATTAAATTAATTGGAGTTAAGTTTAATTTGATCATTTAAAATTCAAATGGATTAACACCATCAATCAGAATTTAGGAATTAGGATAATTAGGTGATTGTTTTTTTGTGTTTTCTTTTCTCATTTTTAATTTCTGCTAATCAGTTAATCATATTGTCATTGATTGAAAGTTGACTGACGATTTTCACTGATTGAGATTCATTTGCTGTATTGGTTAATGAATTTCTTGGTGAATATTTCGGGTTTATGTTGACAGAATCATCTTCATCTTCAAATTCAAACGATTCTGAGTCAGTTGACGGAAGATTAGAGAGGATTCCATGGGTTTCCGGGGAATTTTCGTCATCATCGTCACGAAAATTACTCGAACCTGATGATGTTTGATAGAAAGATGAACGAATCAACTGCCGCCCATCTGATTCCGATTCAGAATCAGTTTCACCCTGACCCAAAGTCGGCAAACTTGCGGTCAAGTAATTACTCTGTTTGCTAAACTGTCCACGAGTTCGACCCATTCGCTTGGTTCGAATTACATTTGAAGGTTTAGAGGTCACTTCGCGTTCAGATAGAATCTCTTCTTCAGTTACAGGGTGCGAATTATCAACGGACGATCCACCCCAATTCGAGACAATAATACCCGGAGGCAAGTGAGACTCGTCGATTTCACTATCACTCCGACCGCGAGCATCATTATCGGTAGTTGATAATCGAGCGAAATGACCTTGGAGATAACTGTCGATAACGTTTCCGTCATCTTCACCGTTATTATTATTATTATTATTGTTTGGATTTCCATCATGGTTAAGATCAATTCCATGATAATCTTCACCATCAGAAGCTTCAATGTCGGAGACTTGAGAATCGGGACATGATTCTTGTTCATTTTCTTGTCCATCAATCATCTCGTTTGCCAATGAACTTTCATCTTCCGATGTTTCATCTTCATCAGGATGTTCCGTTTGAATAACAGTTCCACCATGTTCACACTCCTTGAAACAAGTGACCGCTCGTAATGGACGACCCAAAACTCGTTGAATGTACAATGATAATTCCTTAGCACTTCGTCGAGTTACTTTGGCCTGAGAGCAAGATGAACTCTCTTTAAGATTATCATCATTCTCATCAGATGAATATTCAATATCGGTCAAATATTCACCATCTCTCTCATCTTCACTTTCAGAAAATGAAAATCGGGGTTTCCTTTTAAATCCAATTGCACCATCATCATCTTCATAAATCTCTTCACAATCAGTTGAATTATCGTAATCATCAACAGGAACACTTAGAACATTTCTAGACTCCGAAGCACTACTCAGGTCATCTTCGACCCCTCTATAACCTCCAGTTGACCCTCTCCTGATACCTCTTCGTCTCATCCCCTCAGAGAATAGATTCCGAGGCATTTAGAGAAAGAGAGGGATAATCAAAGGTGAGATTCGACCACTAAAATTAATCCAAAAACTGACCACAAGATTCAAATTCCAAGTTTCAAGAACAAAACTCAAGTTTATCTCACTTCAAATGCTAAACTAAAACTGACACCAAAGAGAATTGGTTGACAATGAATATCGAATCAAGGTAAAAGTCGAAAAAAGAAATGATCAACAAAACTTATAAATCTAAATACGAAATTAATGATAATCGATAATCAAATTTACTAAGGATTCCCAATGAATCCATTAAAGTGAAACAATTGACTGGGAAGGAGGAAAAAGAAACAACAACTTAGAATAAGAGAGAGAGAGATAATTATTTATATAATTCCGAACTAAATTAACAGATATTAATAGAAATTAAAGTGCAACGAAAGGTTTCGTTAAAGAGATGATTCTAATGGTAAGAATTAATAAACTTGAATGAACAATTTAGTTGACAATCAGCAAATCGAGAAAAATAAAAGGATTGATCATAATTCCTTGAGATGAAAAATAAACCAAAAGCAAATGCGCAATTAATGTTAATTGGCTTCTAATTAATGATTAAAACTGTGGCAACATTGAGGATAATCAAAATAACGATCATTTGTATTAATTGTACAAAATAGAAGTAAATTAATTTTGGTTAATTAACTAGTTTTGGAAGCGAATTAAGTTTTCAATCATGAGGAAACTTTGATCTACCCACTACGAGAGGAATCTTACCTTTATCATCAATTGTGATCTTCTTGGTTCGAATTAGTTCAAAAACCTCATCGTACACTTGACGAATTATAGTTTCCGCAATCAGATTGAATTCCTCATGATTAACTGAATTTCCTAAATCAGGATAAGGGTCAAGAATACAGAACAACCCCGAAGAAATAGCAAAGTGAATATTCAGACAAAAAGATATTGAGGTTTGTTGGTTTTTGTTCAATTCGAATCTTTTTTTTTTTGTTCTCAGTCAATTTTGTTTCGATTTTGTTTTCTGGTAATTAAATAGTTAATTGCAATTCAATTGGAATTAAAATTTAATTGCATTCGCTGGTAAATTGTTATAAAACACACACAGATAATTAGAGTTGTAATTAGAAAGCCAATTGATTGGATACAGTTGATTAGTACAACTAATCATGGAATCGGATTCTCATTCTCATTCAAATGGTTTTTTGTTGTTGTAATTTAATATGTTAATTGTTGGCACAATTAATGGATTAGTGGTTAATTAAGACATTCTCATTGACATTGGAAAAACAGAAATAAATAGGAAAAATTGATTAATTGTTGATCAAGTATTCAAATCTAATTCTAATTGTTCAATCAATTGAAATAAATAATAAATAATCACGATTGATTTTAACTAATTAAAAGTTTTCTATTAGCTAATCATTTACTTTTAAAGGTAATTTAATAACAATTGAACTGATAACTTGGATAATTGTGAAAGTTTCATCTTTAATTAACTTAAATTTGATTGATTAAGTTTGATAATTTGCTATTCTAATTAATAATCAATGTAAATTCAATAGACTTTGGATTAATGTTAATTGTGTGTAAAGAGAGTTGATTGTTGCTGATCAAGAGTCTTTCAAGTTGGTTAATTGTAAAATTAATAATCAAATAGGCAAATCAAGTGATTAGTTAATTGTCATCAAAAAGAAAGACAGTTTGTCAAGAAAGAAAGAAAGAAAAGAAAGGAAAAAGAAAGAAGAAAATAAAATATGAAATCAGTTTTGTGGATTAACAAAATTTAAGGTTCAAATGGAACAATTTCTCAAACAATTAAATTTAATTGTCATCATTCGTTGGCGCAAGAAAAACTGATTAACGGACAATCAAAATCTTGTTCAAAGTTAATTTTTATAATCAAAAACCGTTAACTCAATCAACGAGAACAATTAAGATTCGACCTCAGGTTAGATTAGATAATTAACTTTCCAATAGAATTGATTAACTTTGATTAGATTAATCATCTTACCAATTGATTATTTGATTAACTTTGTTTACCATTGAGATGATTAGTTGATAAGATTTACGATTAACAATTGATATTAACAATCAATCATTTATATAAAATCATCAATAGATTTGATAATAAACAAAATGCTGATTAATACAAAATTATAATCCCAATTAAAAGTTAATCATATGTGTTTCCAGAAAGTTAACAATTAAATAAACGATTAACAATCAACTTGTATCATCATCATAGTACATTGATTGTCATATGAACGATTACAATTAAAACTAATTGTTGAAACAAAACTTTCTGAAAACAACAAGATTAATGATGATGAAAATTAAAAACGAGAAAAAAATTATAATATAAATGCAATTGAATTTAACAATAATCAAGATAATCAAGCGGAAAATTAATCAGTGTGTGTATGCAAATGAATCTACGAGCGAAACAATTTAGGTGCAATTAAGAAAATCTAATTGTAGTAGCAAGTGACAATTAAAACAAAACATGAATAGATGATTAGAATTAAAAATTTTCCAAACTAATAACTAATTAGGTATTTTCGTTGTTGTTGTCAACCAAAATGGGAACAATTTAAGTATATTTATATAACTATTAAGGTGAATACTTTTCAATTGTCCAGTAATCTTTTAACAATTTAGATATAAGACAATCATTGATATCATTAGATGACCACTTACCATTTTGTTCAACGGTTATTTTGGTTCCTGGTTCCTCGGTGGTCATCCTAACATCACTTGCATTGGTGGTGGTGGTGGTTGCACTCGATATATTTGCCGAGGTGGGATCTGATTTATCGTCCTCAGGAATACTTGAAATTGATACTTGGCTAATTGTGTCTGGTTCATTTGAATACCCTGATTCCTGTTGTTTACCTTGAGCATCCTGAGGTTGGGATTGTTGTTGCTTTTGAAGACGTTGCTGGACTTGAATAGGTTCATCAGTATCTAACCAATCGTAAGGATAAAAAGATCAATAAAATGACAGTAATTAGTTGTGATTCAGTTTTCGGTCAATCAAAATGATTAAGATAACAATCAATAGAGAAACAAATAAACAAACAGACAAAAGTTATATCAACATCTAAATACATGGACAATTAAATCAACATACAACATGCTGACATGATTAAGATTTCCCCAAACAATTAACTCCTAATATGTATCATTAAGTTTTCTTGCTCATTCTGTATGTTATATTTTACTATATCGGGTGATTTAATTTGCGATAATTTAGTTAAATTAAATCAGTTCTTTTGTTGAGAATGAAAAAAAAAACGAAATTCATTTTTTTTTCTCCATCATGTTACCTTGAATTATCGTTGTTTTCGTGACTTGAGTAATAGAGTGAGTCAATCCACCTTCATCAGTGAATTCAATGTTCTCCTCGGTTTTAATGTGAGATTCAGTTTCATGGGTGGATTCAGGGGAAGTTACTGATCAACAGGAATAATAACAATAACAATAATCATCATCATCATCAACAAAGAAATGGCAAACAAAGGATCAAAAATAAACATGGGCAGGTAAAGGTAGAGAGAGAGAGAGAAAAAAACAAACAGGTAAGAAAAACAAAATCAATTAATTGTTAAGGTAAATGGAAAAGGTAAACCAATTTAAACAATGGACATGAAGGTAATCAGAGTGGACACACACAATTAGACAAATAAAGTAAATTACAAATGAGCAAATGAACGTTAATTGTAATCTAACCAATCGGATTGAAAAGTGATTGGACTAAGTGAACTTGCTTGTCAAGTTACATTTATCTAAATGTATGTAATCAACTAAGTAATTAGATTGGAAAATCTTACTGGAAATTTGATTAGTTGATTTAATTGAACTCGAATCACCACTTGGAACTTGAATTTCTTCTTTAATTATGTATAATTCATTAGAATTGGTCTTTTCTCCTCTAAAAGCAGCTCTCTCTTCCGAATCTTCCCGATCCTCGTCTTCCAAATACTTCAGGTATTGTTGAACCGCTGAAGCCCTTTCCTCATCTTCTCGTCCTTTTTACAATCAACATAATTATAAGCAAATTAACACAACAATTAAGAAACAAAAAAAAACATCATCGTATCATTTGATTAGAAAAAGAGAGAGAGAGAGAGAGAAATCAATCAACAACACCAAAGATAAACACAATCAACATCTTCAAATTCATTAGATAATAATTGAAATCAATCAACTAGAATTACGTTTTTACCTTTGGTTTCATGAGAAGGTATTTTATTAGCTGTAGCGGTCACTGTGGACTGACCAAGTAAGATTCCAGGTTCACCTTCACTATCGTCCATAGATTCAGCATCCTAGAAGAGTAATTAACAGAATAATTAGTGAGAGAAAAGATTTGATAGGAAAACAAAATTCGATTATTTAATTTACCTTCATAATATCTTTATCGTCAAGAGTAACTTCTCGTTCAGTTGGAAGACTTTTTGAGCTTTCGATTGTTTCATTTGGTTCATCGTTTTGTTTACCATTTAGTTTAATTCCAAATTCAGCTAAATGATTCTTGTGTTCAGGGTAAAATTTGGTAACCAGATCTTTCCTACCAATGTCCCAAAGGGCTTTACATAGTTGCTTGTTTTTCCATATTGATGATTTACGGTCAACATTATATAATAAAGCGGTTGCTTGTTCACTTTCAAGATTATTAAATTGTCTCTTAATCTTTTCCGTATCAATTGGATCAACATCAAGGTGAGAGGCAACTTTAATCCAATCTTTACCCAATTCTTGTCCCATTTGCATTATTGATGGATCAGCATTCAAGATAATATCGTCATCATCTAACGGTAAATATTGTATAGTCAATACAAAGAGAGAAACATGAAAAAAAAAGAAACAAACAATCAGAAATCAATGGACAATCAATTGAAAACAAGGACAATTAACAAATAGTTAAAATAAAATGGAAAACAAGTTGAAAAAAAAAGGTAATTGTATCGATAGCTCTGATTTTTTATTGCAAGCTCATTGATAGATAAAAATGTAAACAGAAAAAAAAATTAATTAGAAAAAAAAATTAGAATCTAAATGATAATCATTGCCCATGGATAATTAGATAATCTCAGATTAGTGGATTATGAATAAAAAGAGGGAGATTAAATAGTTTCAGTGTTTGTGTGTATATAAATAATGCTTGAATATTGAAATTGATGAATTGCATTTATATAAATATTTTAAGATTTGACTAATTAACGGATGTGATATTTTGATATTAATCAACGACAATTTCCAATTAGTGTTGATTATAATGGGTTCTAGGGTGTTTGGATGGATAATCGGAGCTATCGGTACTTGGAAGGTGGTGTGGTTTTGGTGGGTTGATTGTTGGTACACTTTTTGATAATTAGTTTCATTAATCACCTAGTGCTGATCTTTGGATGGTTTCTGATTTAATATTATAATGGACATCGGTAAATTGTTGTTGATAATTATTAATAACAATTGGTTCCTCTTCCAAGATTATTTCAGGTAATTTGATGTTTAAATTGCATATTGGCACTTGTGGAGCTTCACCTCGAGTTTTTCGTGGTTCTTTCATGAAGGCAATTTTACCGAAAGGTTCTTGAGATGAATCTCGAACTCTTATTAAAAAGGGAAGTCTATTCTCTCGGAAAGCTTGGAAGGTTAGATTTAATTGTTCACCCGATTTGGTTACAGGTATCAGGTTACCAGCAAATTCGAGGTATTGACATTTACCCTCTAATACCTCGACATCACGACTCTTGGCTACTTCGGTAAATTGTTCTTGATTTTCAAGAGTTTTCTCTTCCTTATCATCAGTCATACAGAATATTCTCATTTGAGCTTCAGAGGGATCATGACGCTTTGAGAAAACAACAAATTTCGACATGAAAGGAACTGCAGTCGCCTCACGGTAAAGGTCAGTAGCAAATTTGGTCGCTTCATTGATCTGACGACAATCCATTAACCAAAATCTATTAGAAAATCAAAAAAAAAATCAAATCACAATTAGATCAAAATTATGATTATTCTCAATCTAAAATCACTCACCTTGCTGAGACCGTAGTTGTAAATGAAACACATTGATTAACAAAAGTAAGCGGAGTTGAACCAGTGACATCTTCCCATTGAGCTTTTGAGGTTCCTCCTGAAAAAGAATCACAATTAAAAAGTAAATAATTAAGATTAGTAATTTGTAAAAGGAACAATTTATATAATCAATTAGAGTTTGGAAGATTTTTCGTTCAAAAATTAACAATAAAAACAATAGATTTGTTCATTATCACCGATAGGCATTTATGAAAATCAATCAACTATTAACGAACTAATTTAATTGTCTTAGCCCATAAGGAATTTAATTTAATTTGGTTTGTTTTATTTTCCAGGCTTGAACGAATCACCTTTCCAATAGTTTTTAATTAATTGACTTTGTTTCTCTAATTTTTTTTTCAATTCAGTTTACAGGTAAGTCTTCCCATTGGTGAACTAGGCTCAAGAATAATAATAGAAAACAAAATTAAAATGAAATAATTAAAAGTGATTAGTAAACAATAAGGATCTGAGGTTAATTGTGGTTAATTAAAGCGAAAAACAAAAATGAAGGGAAATTGATGATTAAGCAGAAAATTTACTAGTAAATTGTTACAATTAACATTGATAATTTCGGGGCAAGATGACAACAGTTGATTAGTGATTGATTAATGCCAAGATGACAGATGAGAGAGTTAAGGATAATTATAATTAAATTAAGTAGCACAATAAGTTAATTACTATTATGGTAAAGGATTTTCAGGGTTTAGATTCATATTATCAACACAATAAAGGAAAATATTATATTTAACTGTTACAATTAAGAGACTAATCAAATAATCAGTTGATTGTCAATTGTCAAGAACAGAATCAAGTTGATTGTTTGAAGTAGTGGAGAAAAATTAATATTAATAATTTAGAGTAAAAATTGATGTATCAAATAACTAATTGTAATCAACATAAATTGTGAATACAAAAACCCAACCTTTTGATTGAGTTAATTGTTCACAATGATGAATTGCAAAGCAACAGTTAATTCACAAGGTGTAACAAATGATGGTGATTAAGCAGCAAAACTGATTGTTATAATGATTAAAGTACAATTTAAATCACCAAGGAAATGAGTACATGAGCTACTTGGCATCTATTGAATATTTAAATGAAAAACTTTCATCATTTGCATAATTAATTAAGGCAACAATTCAAATTGGCAAGAGTTTTTTTTTCTTCAACCAATTCAAGCCATTAGAGCAGATTGACAATAATCAATCAAGTTCTTTGTAAATTGGAATTCAGATTATCGTTTCAGATCATGAGCTACTTTAGGAAAAAGGATAATCTTCCATGAGAGCTTAAAAATATATTTTAAAAAAATCAACTCTTTCCTTATAATTAACAAATTAATTAGAGTAAAAGTTAAACTATGTTAGGAAAATTGTTCTACTCAAAAACTTTGGATTATCTCTCAATCTCTCACTAGTGGATGAATGAATACAGAGAATGAGTTAGATGAGAGAGAGACAGAAGATGAGGATGGAGATTAATTTAAATAACTAATCAAGGATCGTGAGGATAAAATGAAGAAGATGATAAGTTACATTTGAGAGAGGGAGAGCATCTTTCTAATAGGTGAGTTGGAGGAAGGAGCATTCAGACAAGGAGGAGGTGATTACATATGTGAATTGATCACTCTGACTCTAATATCTTAACTATTGGAATGATATGAATAAAGAATTGAATGAGTTTCTAGGATGAGAGAAATCAGGAAAAAGATGAGAGAATTGAGATGAGAAATTCTAGATGAGGTATTGGAGATGATCTAATTAATGGACTTATGATTAAATTACAAGAGATGAACAGTGATTTAATGGATTAAATTTATGAATGAGATTCATAGATTAGAGTGAATAGTACATTGTGAGGAGAGCATATCGGATACAATTTAACTGGAGTTGAGGACTAGGATAATCAATTAGTCATTGATGAGGTGATTATCATGATGAAATGTGATGATCAAAGGATGACACAGATTAATATACATAAATTGGATTAGTGATTAAGGCTTAGATTTATTATTGAATATGAGCATAGATCAAAGGGAAGACAAACCTGACTTTGTACTACCTGTTATGCTGCAAAGTAATCTTAATGTTGGTGTATCTCCGGTGTAATTGTTGATCATTCCTCTGGTCGCTGCTTGAGGTACAGGTATGGTCAATGTTATCGGTTTATGAAATTTACGTCGACGTGGTTCCACCGTAACAATTGGACTAACGGCAACACGATTACCTAACATTTTAGCAACCAGTTCAGAGGATATCGGTTGAGCCTGAAAACAGTGAGGAGGGAGGAAGATAAAGAGAGAGAGGAAGATGAAAATATGAAAATTTTGCATACACATGATAAGATTTACGAGGATAATCACAATTATGAAATTGATTCAACTAAGGAAAAGATAATTAATTAATCATTTAATTGATTATCCTTTAGAATCAATAACATTTCTTTGGGAGATAGAAAATAATAAATAATAAAAAATTGAATTGAAAATAATAGTAAAAGATAAACAATGTTGATAATCAAGCAAAAGGGTAGAAAAAGGTGAGAGTAGATAGAGAATGTTAATCATGATTAAGATTATTAATCGAATATTGAGAATTAATTATTAATTTTCTAAATTACAATTAACTATCATTCTCTACTCAATTTTCCTCATCATCCAAACTGTTTTCAAAAGGCAATACCCAATTCCTCATCACAATTAGAAATTATTATTTATTGGTAATCGGTTGGTTGGAGTAAATGTTAATCACGTTAATCAATGGTGTTAATTGTTAATTTGGTTAATTTGATTAGTGTGACTTTTATTAGTAAGGTGTGGTGACAATAATAATGATACAATTTGAACAAATCAATATAATCAAGACAAATTAAGGTAATTGACATTGATATATTGTTGATAGATTGTTGTTTTTTTTAATTGTTAATCAGTTAATTGGTTAGTTGAAAGGGTTAGTTGATTATGATTAAGTTCATTTATTATACACAATAATTTGAAATGAGTTAATTAAATTAATTTGAATCAAAATCAAAACAACAACAATGGTTTTATATAGATACACATTTAAATGAGATCAAATTGTTATTAGTTAATTACTAAGGAGGTTGAAAATTAGGACTAATTGTTAAGCTGATTAATTTGGGTTATTATTATTAGTAAAACAATTAAGAAATTGACCAGACTAGATTAAGAATTAATTAATCAAAACATGATTAACGTTATTATGAAACTTTAAATTGTTTCATTCTGATTTTTAATCATCATGTTAATTGATAATCAATTAAACCATGAAGTTAATTTATGAGATCAAGAGAGCTGTTGGTTAATCAATGATTAACTTAATTGTTACGATATTTATAATTGTGAGATTTACTTATGGTAAAGGGTTTTAATTGTGTGAGAATTGTTTGATATGTTAAGAGATTATCACTTAGATCAGAATTAGATTAATTAACTAAACTGAATGAGATTTAATTGTTACGATATATTTACGATATGTATTGATAACAAGAAGATAATTAAATTGTTGATTATCAATAATAAGAGACTAGAATTGTATTGATATGTTTGATTCTTGGTGAATTATTGATTTTCAATGGAAATTGAATAATCAAAAATAATAATGTTAGCAATTTAATTTTCTGTGTTAATTGTATGATAATTTAAATTAAATCACTTTATCTTTGTGCAAATGATAAAATTATTATGCTGATTATGTTGATTGTTATCAATTAATTGGATAATTTTGTTCATTTCTCAATGATAATTATCGTTCTGGAAATTATTTACTCTTTAAAGGTGATCAATGATCAAGGCGATTAGGTGGATAATTATTACTAATATTTTGATTAATTGTTGACCGAAATTAAAGATAAACTTATTCACTAATTATATTATTGAACAAATAGGTTTCCAATTGAATCAGTTTGTAATCAAATTTGTGCTTAGCTTGGTCCTTAACACTAATTCACTTAACTCTGTTCATAATTTAAGGCATTTGTTAAATTGATTCAACTGAATTAATCAACTAATTAAACGAAAAAGATTGAAAACTTTCACAACTAATAATACTCAATTCGGTTATTTGAATTTGCGATCACAATTTTGTCAAGCGCTGAGGGTCAACTTTGTCTGGGCGGAGAAAGTGTCAGGTCAATTCGAGTTACTCGACTAAATCATTCGTGCAAAAAGGTCTAGATTAGGCATTGTCACTCGAACGAACTCTGCGAAACAACTGCTAACCGGAGTTAATTCAGTTCGCTCAACTCGATTTCTAACTTTTCGAGATTTTTTACTACCCGAGCTGTGCGATTTTGCTGAGGTTGATGTTGAACTTTGAGGTTCCAATGAGGTTTTCAGGGTACAAGCATCAACATTATCAGAATGCTTTATATCGCTTAAAGGTTTCGAGGTAGGATTATTATTATCATCATTAATCGATGGAAGGTGATTAACTGATAATGATGTTGATTTCACTGATTTTGATATCATTTCAATTTGTTTATCCTCTTCTTTAACATCCATTTTTGTTGATTCCTTTGATGGTTCACAATTAGGAGGATGAGATGTTGGAAGAGGAGAGGGAGGAGGATGGGAAGGAGTTGAATCATCTCTTGGTGTTGATGTTGATGGTTTTGCCTTTTTATTACCTCGAATTAATCGATTTCTCAAACCAACTCCAAATGAACTCAATCTACTCTTACGTTTTCTACCCTTTGTTTCAAAGGAATCTTCATTTTCATCATCAGCATCAGTCTCATTCTCATTCTTATTTTCATTTCGATTCCGTTTTTTCTTATTTCGTCCTACCTGGAGTCCAACTTTGATCTTCTTAGTGAGGGCTCCTTCAGGGAAAATAGCCTGAACTTGAGGTACAACAGTAGAGTTGACCATTCCTCCTTCCGGTCCAATGGCATGAACTTCTTGACGAATCCGAGTAATGATGGCAAAATATTGCGGAAAATCAGTCGTCAGAATACGAGTTATACGATCGGATGCAAATTCAGAATCTAGGTTATTCAAATCTGTCGAGAAAAAAATATCATTAACATTAATATCGATTCTTTTTTTACATGGTAATTGGAAGAGAGAGAGAGAGAGAAAACCATTTATCATTTTCATGTAGTGAATATTTACCTGATTCTCCTTGTAGACTATCATTGAGAATCTCTCGAATAGTGTCTTCCGATGCTTCTACAGAGTGTTCTCTCCAGCTTTCTCCATCATCACTTCTTAAGATGATAATTTCTCGTTCTTTTCCTCTCATAGCAGCAAAGTGTGGAACCTCAATTATCACCGGACTATATCATGGAATCAAGATGAAAATAACAAATGTTAACAATTATTCATGTCACAATTTCTAATCAACATGAGATAATTACCCTAAAAATTTAGCTCCTGATGGACCGATTTCCAAAATTCTTGAGGCACAAGCTTCACCTTCCATCAAGGGTGGAGGGTGGATAAGCTTTTCCCTTCTCAGGTATCGACAGGTTATTCTCATGGGCATCGGAGCTTTTCGAGGTGGAATAATAACTCTCACACCAGAATGACGACAGCCTCTCATAGCACCACCACGAGCATCAACCATGAAACTCACAAGGAATGTTTTCCATTTTAATCGTCCCGCAGACGTTGGTGGCCGGAAGATGTCAATATTATCGGGGGTAAAGTTGTTTATCATGGATTCTTGCATAATAATATGACTTGGTGAAATGGTTTCATCAGCAATCAAAGGAGCGTGAGCTGTTAAATCACCAGCACGAGAAATTGATTCATCATGGGTAACATCAAATCCAAATGATTCATCGTGTTCACCACCATCACCTTTCTCATAATTGAGATTAGCTTTCTCCCAATTATCGGCACCTTCACCACCTTCATCTTCAGAATCTGTAGTCATGAATGTTTCTTGCATAGTTTCAGGATTATTGTAACTATACTTTTCACCGGTAGTAGTTGTTATAATACTGGTTGTTGTAACTTCAGTGACGGTTTTCAAAGTTTCAACGACTGAGATATAATTGCATTTCTGGGCAATAGCCAACGGAGTGTATCCAAGATTGGTAGTCTTGTTTGGTGATGCTTTGTGGTCAAGCAACAAGTTTATGACCAATGTATGTCCTTGTTGAGCAGCTTGATGGAGAGGAGTATATCCATGCTAATAATTAAGATGAGAAAACACTTAGTTCCAAGTTAACTTAAACACAATCATTAACCAAACACACATCCAAACAATTTAAACTTCTCGTTGAATAGTTGAAATTCAACTGAACAGCAATAATGTTTTTCCACTAAGAAAATAGGTTTCTGACAAAATGTCACTTAAACATCAATGAGTTTATCTTCCAAGTTACACAAAAACTTTTCACACTATTCCATGTAAAAATATATCCAACTAATGCTCCAGTTATCTCATCTAAAAATAGCTTGAGAAAACAATTTCCTTTATCTACATTCTGATCATCAATCCAAAAAGATGAAGCCAAGTTAAAACATATAAATATACCTGAGTTGTTATATCAACATTTGCTCCCGCCTGCAGAAGCAGTTTGATCATACCAACAGCACCATTGTGACAAGCGACATGGAGTGGAGTGTATCCTTGTTTCGTTTGAACATTAACATCAGCTCGTTTCTTAAGCAATACTTGGGCAACAGCGACTCTATCACCCTGAGCAGCAAGATGAAGAGGTGTCAATTCAAGCTAAAAATAGAATAGAAAATTGTATTAGATGATAATGTAAATATATTTACATGAAATCGCTTGAAAACATAAAGATAATAAAACAGAAAAGTTCATGTTTCAGCTAATTGGAAATATCGATAAATTGAGTTGGAAAAAAAACACATTGTATCAGGTTGATTAATGAATTAGTGAAACATGAATGATTGATATTCAAATGACAATTATAAAAGATGGTAAAATAAAAGGTAATTAATACCTTGGATTTAGCATTAACATTTGCTTTGTGGCTAATCAGCAATTCACCCATGTCAGTGTGTCCCTCTTGGGCTGCTAAATGAAGCGGAGTGAATCCAGCCTTAGATTCAGCGTTAGTGTCAGCACCATATTCCAATAGTGTTGTGGCGATTTCAATTTGCTTCTTTTTAGCGGCAATATGTAAAGGTGTGTATCCATTTTTAGCTGTTGCATGAGGCGATGCTCCTTTTACGAGTAATAGTATTGCAACATCAACAAAATCATAATGAGCAGCCACATGAAGAGGAGTAACTCCATTCTGTAAGAGTAAAATGATTAGTGTCCAGTTTATGTGAAAATCAAATGACCAATGAAAGGGGAACAAGAATATTATTCAATTGATTTCTTATCCAAATATAATAACAATCAAATTTCATGGAGAAAGTTATTCGGGATAAAATTATAAGAAAATAAGGTTAATCGTAAGTCTAATTTAGATGACAGGAAAGATGATCAACTGAAACAATGAACCGTAAGAAAGACAATCATGGTGATAATTAAGTGATGAATAATTTTCATCAACAATTATCCTACAAAATATTTAGTAATAAATTGTAAGTGTCAATCATAGTTCTTGATTGTATCTGTAACCCTATTTTTTAGCTCTGATAAATGAGTGTGTCTCAATTGATTGTAATTGATTGTTAAAATTTTCCAATTCAATTGAATTTAAATTTAACTTTACAATCAATTGTTTCCTCTTGATTATCACATTGAACAGATCAAAAAGACTGATTGAACAATAAAAACAATAAATTAGATAATAGAAAAGCTTATATTAGAGCAAATTGATTGTCTAATTATAATTACTAATCATCATCGAGTCTCAATAATTTACCTTTCCTTGAGCATCAACAGGAGCTTCCTTCTCAAGCAACAGTCCAGCAACGGTGATCTTGCCGTATTTAGCTGCCAAGTGTAATGGAGTAAAGCCTTTCTGTAATGGTCAAGATAATTAAAGAAATTGTTAATCACAATATCATAACAAGATGATTATTTTAAATAACCTTAGTTGTCGCTGTTAAAGATGCTCCTTGTTCAAGAAGATAAGCAGCAACTTCCCGATGACCTTCCTTGGAAGCGATATGAAGAGCAGTGTATTGATCTCTGGTTGCGACATCAACCGAAGCTCCTCTGGTCAATAATAGTTGAACGATCTCCGTGTTATTCAATCGAGATGCAATATGAAGAGCAGTTTGATCCTCCTAAGATACAAGAGAAAGTAAAAGTAATTAGAATAGTTCATCTTTACATTGTAATTGTTCATTTGAATCAATAGCTAATCTATTAGGACATACTCTTGCAGTTTTATCAACAAGAGCTCCATTTCTCAATAATATTTTAATTATTTCCGATTGTGAGGCTCTTGCAGCCAAATGAATGGGTGTTTCTCCTCTCACGGTGGCTCCATCAACATCGGCTCCATTTTGGATGAGATAAATAACAATATTGATACATCCCATGAAAGATGCAACATGCAAAGGAGTTAATCCAGATTCCGTGGTAACTTCAATAGATGCACCATGTTTAAGGAGTAATTCAACCACCTTGATACGATTCTTTTTACATGCAATATGTAACGGTACAAATCCATTAAGAGCTCTCGCATTAACATTAGCCTTGTGGTCAAGTAATAGTTTAGCCACTTTAACATGTCCACAATGAGCAGCGACATGTAAAGGTGTCAGGAAATCCTAAATAAAACAATAGAAACAAACAAAAAATTAACAACATTTAGTTAATCAAATAATCAAAAAGTAATATAAACATATATCAAAAAGATCAATAATATTGATAATTAATAATTAAGTTAACCCAAAAGTTTCTCATTAGATGAAAGTTTTACATGTTAATTTTGTTCATTTCCAATGAAAATAAATCGGTTAAGCAATAAAACAATTATCAAACCTTGATAATTGCAATGAAAAATTAATTTTCTTGCCAAATTGGCAAACGAATTGTAATTAGTTTAATTTAGATTTAATTACGAGCTGAAACTATTTGATTTGAAACTTTGGTTCTTACAAAGTTAATCCAATAATCTGAATTAGTCCTTGTTCATTTCTCAACTTCATTTTGTCTCACTAATATTCAGCAAAATAATGATAAATTGTGTACACATGATAAACTAACTGAACATTATTCTCATCATGATAATAATTAACGTAACAATTAACAACATCCTTAAATCTGATACAATCAGATGATATCGTAATACAAATAATAATTAAACCATAAAAGTGAGACAAAATATTCAATAGTATTGATAATAATTCTGGTAAGACATCAAATATAATAATTTATGATTCAATGATTTGTGCAATTAAAATGATAAAAAATAAAATACAAAACTAGATCAATGAGAGTTGATCAAATTGCTGAAATTGAATATTTATCGATTTCAATTTAAATTTGTGATTAGTTAATTCGTGTCTTGATTGTAGTAAAATTTTCAGGTAACAAAAGAGGTCATCAAGTCCATGACACTTAAGTGAACTAGAGGGAAGTTGATTATCTGATAATTGTAATCAAGGTGAATGATTATTACAACATTTTAATCCAATGATTAGTTAAATACATAATCTAATTGCATTTTGTTCCGGTTACGTTATAGTTTATCAACAGAAATGTCAACAAAAAAAAGATGATGAAAAATATGAAAAAAAGGACTAATTTCATAATCATTATCATCATGATAATATCAACATGCAACCGATAATATATCAGTTAATCACGAGAAATATTATCAAAAACTAATAACAATAACATGGTTACATTGTTCATAATAATCGTTATGTTTTCAATGAGTTTAGTTATTTATTTATATTCAATCAAGGACAAATTGTTGAGATATAAACAATGTACAAATCTGGGTGGGGCTCTCATGATAATATCTCAATGAAAGTTACATGGATTGGTCATTTTACTATCCTTGATAACATGATGATGACCAATTCATTCAGGTAATATAATTACAATGATTAATCAGAACCATGAGAGGTGAAAAATGATCCATAATTTAATCAGCAATCTTTTCCTCAATCAAAACATTTGAAAAAATTTTAATATATAATTAAAATACGTGAGAAAAACTAATTAAACGATTAACTGGCCATATTATTTACAATTAACATCATCATTACAATTAAAATGCTTCTGTAATTACCAATTACCGATTAATGAATCGATGATATCATGGGAAGTGAGTATTAAATAGTAAAAGTATCACAAATCTTATTTAGAAAGTTAATTTATACAATTAAGAAATTAATTCACTTTGATAATTAGTTGATTGTTTTATTGGAATGATTTAAATTACAGAAAATAGCAATTCAAGTGAAATTTAATTCTCATTCATGGATTAGGATTAACACGCGACACAATCATCATATTAAAGATTATCAATACAACTCTCTCTCTCTCTCTATTTCTGGTAATCAGTTGATTGTTAATTGTTGTTGATCAATAGATTAACTGTTAATTGCGATTGTTTAAAATGTAAACAACAGAATTCTAATTGACCTAGAACTTATTAGTTTGATGATAAACAGATCTTTAAAAATAAATAGACACAATTAACTTAATCAAGGGATACAAAAGGATGAGGGGATTATGTTGCCTATGGATAATTGTGTGGGAGGATTAATAATATTAGACTTGAAAACAAAATGATTAAAACAAAAAAAAGCATAAACAATTTATAAATTAACAAACATCAATTAAAGTGAAGGTTAATTGCACAGTGAGAGGATAATCAAGCTCTGTACAATTAACTGATCATCTTAGATGAAAATTACCAAATGTTTATTAACAATTGTTAATTGTTTATCATTAGTTGAATACGACAATCAGAGATAGTTAAAGGACTAAATGAACAATTAACTTGAGCGTATGATGATATTTTTAATCAATGAGAAAAAGTAATCAAATCAATAATAATATTCATTTATAACCTGGAACAATTAAACAATTACAATACAAATTATGAGCATTTAGTATTAGGATTAGAGTTAATTGTTTGAAAATTTTCATGACAAATCAAAAAAAAAGTTATAAGAACACCAGAAATATTAATAGTTAACATGTTAACTTGTCATTGTTTAACTAAGTGAATTAGTTAATTGGGTAAATCTAATTTAGATTGGGCTAAAAGTAGCAATTAGGTTGAACATTATCGGATTATTTATCGAAATGATTTAGCCTTTAAATTGATTAGTTGGAACTTGGAATGAAAAAAGTTCTGGTCAGTTAAAGATTAGATGTCAACCATTTAAGTTTTCACAGTTTGTAACATATATTTATAAAATATCAAAGTGTTCAAATTTGATTAACAGTAATTAACTAATTATTGGTGTGATTAAGCGACACAATTGATTATTGGTAAATGATTCGAGATAAAATTTCAAAAATGAAACTCAAGGTAAGTCAAATTTCAATCAAATTTTCAATCAACTAACGATTATCATTACTTGTGAAAATTAAGTTAATCGTTTCTTGGTTAATCATCATCATGATTATAATTGGACAAGTTATGGGAACACCTAAATTGGTTAAATTGATCAAGAAATTACCGTTATATCAAAAATACTTTGGATACCATGAAATTTATCCAACTAAATTATACACTAAATTGTACATGAAACCGAGTCTATACCCATACTTGTATCGACCTTATTACCATTGGGGTGGACACCATTGGGGATACGGTGGCCGTTGGTACTTCGGAGGTTAACTTGTCCCTCGAAAAAATCTGAAAGGTAAATTGTTTGCTTTCTAAACAATTAATACAATTAACCATGAAAATCCACGAGGAGAAACTTAAACTTCATGGTTATCCCATTGTATCAACAAGTTAATCCGAATGCTTAAAATAAACAGTTTTACAAATTCTAAATTGTTGTCGAGACTCTTTCATGATAGAAAAGATAATCCAAAACTGTTGACTAAGATAATTAACAATGATATAAGATTCAAGTTTAATTACTTCAAGATCTTTAATGAGATTCAAATATAAAAGATTCTTTTTTTCAATTATATGAGTTAATTAGTATTCAAATTGGTCAATGTCATAATTTTATTCTGATGTTGGACAAAAATTCTCACCTGAGGTCTCAGCTGATATTTAAGAAATTCCGATTCAAATTCTCATGGAATATGAACTTTTCTTTGTGTTATTTTTTGTTCTACATATTTGTGTTTACATATTATCACAAGAATCTCAATAGGAAGAGCCTGATGCTAATCATATGTCTTAAATACTTTACTGACGAACTCAAAGTCGAAAACTGTTCTATTGTGTTTAACATTGAATTGGCAAAACTTATATGTATCATTTTTGTCGAGGTTCCAGAAAAAGTGTTCATTAACGTTTATTTACATCAACAGTTCAGATATTTCACCATGTAAATAATAATAATAAGAATAATAATTAATCTGATTCTAAGCCAATATGAACTTTTTTCCCCTTTGTAAAATGTTCAACTTAAACTCGTACTTCCTTATAATAGTAATATCGTTCATTTAAAGTGACATTTAGCTGAATTTTTAATCATTTGCCAAAATCAAATTAAATCAATAGGAAATCAAACTCAATCAGATTATCTATGAAATTTTAATTTCAATTTCAATCTCGAAATGTATTAATATAATTGATCGAGAGATTTGTAAATGTATATATATGATAGTTCCTGAGAGAGTTAATAAAAAAATATCAACACGAAAATATAAACAGTAAATGAATAATAGTCTAGTAGGAAATAGACAATTAAATGTAACTGTAACTGTTATTGAATTAGAAATGTTCAATTTAAATTGTAATGTTAATTGTTAAAGGCAAAAGTCTCTAAGAGATTATTATTCAATATGAATATAAATTAATTTTAATTGAACAATTTGAAAATGGATTGATTGTTAGTGAAGGTTAATAATCCATTAACTAATTGATGATAGATGAATGAGATTGTAAGATCAGAAAGAATCACTAATCTGGACCATGGTCAGTTATTCATCTTCAATTAGAATAAGAATCATATAAAAATATAAAACAATAGGAAATCGGAGATTTGTATCATTGGATTAAGATAATTCAGTTAGACAGAAAAAGCTGAAAAAGGTTAACACGAATTCTTGTATTAAATACTTGAAAACTATCTGATTAGAGATATTATTTATTAAAGAAAATGAAAATAAGGTCAAAAGAAATGGATAATATTAAGAAATTGACATTCATGATAAACTTGGTATCAAAACAGAATCAGAATGAATGTTTTTATCACGGTTATCATGTAGAGATGGCGAGGGAGAACGAAAAAGAAAGAGAGAGAGAGAGAGGGATAGGGATAGGGAGAGAGGAAGACACACCCAGACTAGTATTTTATATTGTATGAATAAGAATCAACATCCTTCACTATGTAATAATGATAGTTTAACATGTATAAAGAAAGAGGATGATGATGAGAAAACTGACAACAAGATATTATCATGATCATCATCCATAAAGAGAAAATGAAATATCAAATTAGATTCTAATACATGAGATTGTGAATGAGAGTAAATAAGTAAATGATTTATATAAATTCATTTGGGAAATAGGGCCTATCCTTGGAAAGGAAAGTAAACCCGGTGTAAGGAAACATAGAGGGAGAGGGTGGAGGAGTTGGAGTGAGAGAGAAGGAGTCAGGTTAGACTGAGTGAGTCAATAAATATAACTAAAATGTGATTGTTGGAGACAAAAAAAGAAACATTTTTAGTTTAGTCAAGTAGAACCATGAAAATGACCTTGAAAATACTCAGAGTTATAACGATTCAAGAAGACAGAAAGACTTGAGTATTGAGTAGACAAAGAGAGGAGCAAATGGAGAGGGAGAAAGAGAAAGAGGAAGATAGAGAATAACGTTTCAGTGAGCAATTTGAAAGAGAAAGAAGGATAAAAACTAAAATCGCAGTGATGATAATGATGATGATGAGTAGCAGTAGAAGACGAAAGTATATTTAGTTGGGTGTGGTAAGGATGACAAATTAGAGATAAACAAGTTGAAGGTGTTAACTGATTGAATGAAATGATGCACATGATTAAAAGATTATCATTATCTTAATAATCTTAAGCCTAATAACCGGTAATCAACAATCAACAACAATAACAACAACAAAAAAGTCAACTAATCATTGTCAATTTATATTCATTGTTTACTTTAAATGTTACGCTTCTTATAAACACAACCATCATGATGATATTTTCATATATTAACAAGTAAATTGTTGTAGGTGGATCATCATCATCATCATGTTTGAGTTAATTTTTCATGATCAAGCAACATAAACAATTAAAATGAAAAAAATATAAATTCGCAATTTAGGTTAAAAGGTTTTGCTTTTGGTTTTATTCATCATGATGATCTTATTATAAGTGAAGGATTAAGAGTTTCAAAGCAAAAAGGAGTTATCTTTATCTACTGATTCTTGTTTTAATCTAAACTTGAAAATGATAATAAACAAACAATTAAAAAAAAGAGTCAATTAAGAAAAATGTATTAATGATAAAATGTTAATCTAAAAGACATGGAATTGATTTGAGTTGTAATAAAACATGATTCGGATCAAGATGAAACATCCTCAAGTTAATTAATCTTGTTGGCCAATTATCACAATTAGACAATAGATAATTAAATAGAAAGATAAACAATTAAAACCCGCCAAGTTATCACTTATAAAGAATTGAAAACAAAAACAATTTAATATGAATGAGAAAAAAAAACACAAGGTTTTTGTTGTTATTTTGATGATTTTTCATGACCTAGTTTCCTCTTCCGCTTTTTTTGTTGATAAAAAAACGATAATCATCAAAGATCATAGTTAGTTTCACATGCTGATGATGATGATGATGATGATTGTTATCATCATCACAATGAAACAATAAGCAACATTAGCTTTCCATGTAAATTGTAATGTTCATGATGTGTATGAAAAAAAGTGAAAGTTTCAAGCACAAATTGCCAACAATACGAAACACATGAAGAAATTAATTAAAGTGTCAATGATTTAATTGTTAGCTACGGTTAAAATTAAATTAAGAAATAACTAAATCATGCAACTCAAATTATATATCATTAAATTGTTATTTATCACAATATAATAATAGCAATAATTAAAATAGTATCTCAATAGACTTTACAAAACAATCAATTCTTTGCTATTATTAAAATATAAAACAGATCAACGTCCTTTCATTTATGTTGAACCAAACAATCAATTAATTAGTGTGTCAGTAATCAATTGATCAGCTTGAAAATTAGGGATGAGAAGAAAAAAAAAGTTGTGTTGACTTTAAATTGTAAACAATTAAAAGTTTTTTCTTACAGGTAAACTAATAGAAAAAGAAATTGATAGTATTAGAAGAATAGAAGAAGATGGAAAAATAAACAATCATGTAGACTGATTATACTTTTGAATAATTAAGATAATCACAAGAATTAATAATCGATTCAATTGATAAATTGTTACCTGATAGAGTTGATTAATTAATTAGCATGTTTGATTGTTTATAATTTAGTCGATGAAAAGTATTATAAATTAATAAATAAAAGAGACTACCGAGATTAATTGAAGATTTAAGTTGTTGATTGATGGAGAGTTAAGGTTAACTTAATCATGATTTGTTTGATTACTTTTTAACGTAAAGGTAGATAATCATAATAATTAAAAGTGAAACAATTAACTTACCACTGTAACATCATCTACAGGTGCTTTATAAGCCAAAAGAGTACGAGCTGAGTCTATATGATCACCTTGAGAAGCCATGTGAAGAGGTGCTAATCCATTCTGATTAAATTCAATTAATCAAGAAATAGATATAAAAAATAAAATCAATAATAAGATTAGTAAAATAATTGATTATGTATAATGATTAATTGTTGGCCTCTAGTCTAACCTTAGTCTTGGCTGAATAAGGTGCTCCTCTTTTTAAGAGTAAATCAACAACCGGCTCATGTCCACTTCGAGCAGCACAATGTAAGGGAGTAAGTCCATCCTATTGGTATATTCATGATTCGAGTAAATTAAATAGAAAACCAGAAGAAAAAGAAAAAGAAAAAGAAATCAATTAATTAAACAAGAAAACAGGTAAAAATACAATTAAATGTTACCCTTGTAGCTGCATCAATTTGAGCTCCACGGTCCAATAGGAGTTGAACCATATGAGCCTTTCCCCATTTAGCTGCAACATGTAATGGTGTAATTTTGTGCTGTAACCAAAGAAACAGAGTAAGAAAAAAAAAGAGAAAAAAATAACAATCAAAATTCAAGGAGCGGCCAATACATGTAATCAATGGTTTTTCACACACTGACAAACATAAAAATGACTATTAATTTTAGATTAATAATAACATAATTTTGTTACCAAATTATGTTAGTCATTAAGAGTCTAAGGCACACTTTTCATTAACAGAATCTCTATCATTAACATGGAGCGTCAACTGAGCCCAGCCCATTTCACCAAAGGTAAGAATAGATAAAGAGAGAGAGAGGGAGAGAGAGAGATAGAGATAGAGATAGAGAAAGATGGATGTAGATTATGAAAGAGAATCTTTGTTTTTCTCTCTTTCATTTAAATTATTTTTCACTGATTATCTAGTTAAACACAGAAACTGTTATCCATTGGAGGGGGATTTGTATCACATTAAGAATTTGATGAAGATGAGGAAAAATAATGTCACTTGTATTCACCTTTGCAGTGAAATTAATGTTGGCTCCTTTATCTAATAAGAGTGTACCAATATTTTCATTGCCATAATGTGCTGCTATATGAAGAGGGGTAAATCCACTTTTAGATGTGACATCGGGCTTTTGGTCACTTTGGAGTAGTAATGCTGCCGCTTTACAATCATCTTTTTTAGCTGCAATATGTAAAGCAGGAAGTCGAACTTTTCCTTTGGTATCATTTTCCAAGAGAATGGTAACTACTTTATCGTGACCCTGTTGCAGGGCAACGGCTAAGGGTGTAAAACCATCTTCCGTTGCTAAACTTTGGTTAGCTCCATGGGATAAGAGATATCTGACCACCGTGTCATGGTTTTCTTGAGCTGCCATGTAAAGGGGAGTAAAACCATTGAGACTTTGTGCATTAACATTGGCTCCATTTTCAACCAGAATCTCAACAACCTCTAATTTACCACCAAGTGAGGCTATATGAAGAGCTGTATTTCCTTTCTGTCAATTGAAGGGAAAAAAAATAAAAGATAGAGAGAGAGAGAGACATAGAGGAAGAAAAAAAAAGAAGAGAGAATTTTGTTTTAGAATAAAGTATTTAAACATGAGAAGAGAATCACAGAATAGATTAAGATGGAGAAGAAGATGAAGAAGAAAAGCCATAAAAGGAAAGAGAATAATATGTGAAAATCTAATGAGAATAAATAAATTGTTCCTTTATCTAAACAAAGGTTTGGTTAACTGTCTCTCTTTTTCCTTCTTCCTTTTTGTTAAAAGAGATGAAAAATTTTCGTTTCAAGATAATTCATAGACTATTATGTAACTTACATTAGTTCCAGCATTTACATTGGCTCCTCGTTTTAATAGTTCTTTAACCATTTCCGAATGTCCTTCTTTTGAGGCTAAATGAAGAGCATTCATACCATTCTGATGAGGGATAATAGAATAGAATAAAGGAGGAGATCATTATCACAGGTTAGATTGCGATGAAAAAAAATAATAAAATCTATTGGAATTGGAGGAGAATAGAAAAAAAACAAACCATGTTACTAGTATTAATGTCAAGGCTTCCATTTAGATATTCTAAAACCTTCTCCAAATTACCGGCTCGGGCTGCTCTTAGGAAACTAGAGCTTCCCTCGTTCATTAACTGAGGTGAAGTTAATTTAACCATGATTATGGTTAATCAAAAAGTTAATTTACACAAAATTGACAAATTTGGTTCACATTTAAAAGAGAAAGAAAAAGAGAAAAAAAAATTCTGATAACAGTTAGAATATGGGAGAGCCTTAGAGAGAGACAGATAATAACATCCAAAGAGAGAGTTGGAGAGACAGGGAGACGAAACCAGAAAATGGGAAGAAACAGCGAAGCAAGAGAGAGAGAGAGAGAGAGAGAATGATGATAAAAAGAAAGATGAAGAAGATAAATTCTCTCTCTCATCAGCTTTAAGCCGAATGTCATTTTCTGGTTAACAGCTTAATGTTTACTCATAATGGAAAACATGTTGAGCCGATTAACTCATTTTCTATTTTTAGTTATTCTTCTGACCGACAGATGGAGACACTAGAATTCGATTTGTTTTCATTTTTTTTCTCTATTTTGGTTTAATGTTTTTCCATTGAAAATTTTGTTTTCTCATCACCAAGTAAGTGAATTAAATTTAATTGTTATTTATATATTGTTACTAATTGGATTATTTTTTCTCTTTCTCTCTTGTTTTATTTCTTTGTTTTGTTAATTTGTCTCTCATCTTTTGATTGTGTTATTCTATTCTATTCTATAGTATGTCTGCTACTCAGAGGGTTTTGAGGTCAGTACAAGGTCAAGTGAAACCGATTCTATCTCTGAACCATGAGGATGCCAGAAGAAGGACAATCAATTTGTATCGTGCATGGTATCGTCAAACACCTTATTTAATTCATGATTGGAATTTACCATTAACTGTACCACAAATTCACGATAAATTGAGGGAGAAATTTCGTCAGAATAAAAATGTCACTGATTTAAGGGTAATTGATATGCTACTGATTAGAGGACATCTTGAACTTCAGGAAATAATTGATGGTATTTCTCAAGGATTTCATATATACAAATATTTTAAAGAAGATTATGTTCAACCCAAACCTCGGGATTTCATGTCAAAATTTCTATCTGGTAAAACGGATTAACAATAATAATATAGTATGACGGTGATGATGAACATAATATAACTATACTATATTCATGCTAATATAAATTGTATTTTAATTTGTATCAGCTTTAGTGTGTAAAACAATTCAAACACAAGAAAAAAAATCTTAATCAATTACAATTGTTTTGTTTTTCTCTCAAATCGCAAATTTACATATATTAATTTATGTTGGTCTCTCTCTCTTTCCCTTTTGTTTCTGTTTATATATTTTTCTTATAAATTTCTCATTATCATCTCAATTTTTTTCGCTTCTTTGGTTTTCTAGTATCATGTGCTAGATTCCAATCGGTATCACCACTATTATCACATTCTTCACCATCCGAATCATTTGATTTACCAGTTGATGCTATTCTTTTACTGGCAATTCGTGAACTGTTACGACCCATTCCCATACATTTCTCTAAATGTGGAGCGAATCTTGATGCGGCTAAACTTCGTTGACAATTAGGACAAATACATTCAAATTGTTTCTTCATTTGGGTATGAGCCTGGCCGAAAATGTCCAATCCTCTTTCATCGATAATAACTAAACCAAAAGGAAAGAGAAAAAAAAGAATGACAATGACAAATGAGATATTAGAATTTGATTTTCTTCTCAATTTTTGCTCAACACAATTGCCAATTCAATAAACCAGAATTCTAGTTGATATCAAGGAGAAATCAATTTCAATTTCACAAGAAGTGTAGAGAAAAAAAAGCTAAAACAATCATTCGAATAGAAGAAGAAAGAAAATTAAAAAGCTTTACCATATTTCTGATCCCTGTAAGAGAAAAAGAGAGAGAGACAAAAAAAAAGAATTACAATTTTGTTCTTTGATACAATTGATGGAGAACAAGTTGACATACAATCAAACCGTATTCTATACATGAATATAAAGAAATTACGTAAGAAAATGTGTCAAATTGATTGCTGTTTAAATGGAAAAATAAATGAATAAAATACTTACTCTTGAGGTGATGATTCGTCAATGAATAAAAATCCTAATTTTGATGCTCTATGAATCTCAAAACAAACACCCAACAAAATCTCATCTAATATCTCATTGTAGATAGATAAACAAATGTTAGACATGACAATATCATCACTGGTTATTAATTGTTGGTTAATTGAACCGCTTGGGATAACCATCACATCATTATCACAATAAAGTTAAACAAAATCATCATCTTTAACCAGCATCAAAATTTGATTCATTCAAAACTAAAAACCAAACAAAAACAAAACAACAAAGCAACTCAACTTTAGTTTCACCGAAAGATCATAGATGGCGCTAGTAACCCTATTGATTTAAATTCTAAATCTGGATTGATCGTTGTGAAACTGACCTGATAAATTTTAAATTAATTAACTTTACCTGTGAATTTAAAAATGGATTTTGGTTCATTATTGTTTGGCTAATCACATGGATCAAATTGATACCTAAATTATAATAGTTCAACTATCACTTATATCGTTTTAGACAATCCTAAGACGGAGCCGTTATTAAATCACAACCATGTGTTTTCTTGGTAAGTTTTGCTAATATTTATTATAAAAAAAAAATTTGAATTTCTAATTTTCTTTTCTTTCAATTTTTTGTGTCATATCTAATGAGCCAACCAACTCGGACCTTTGGACAATCGCCAGAATTTGGAATTAATTTTGACAAAGGACTATGGTCCATGGAAATTATTTTGAGGAGAAAAATTTTATGGAAAATAGCCCTTTATTGGGATTAGGCGAATAGAATTTTTGAATTAATTAATATTCCATATGTAATTTCGACCTCAGGGGAGAAAAAATTTATTATTTATTATTGATTTATTGTTTTCTTTTCTTTTCTTCGTCCCTTATTCCTTTCCTTGTCTCTTATTTCCCTTTCCCTGGTACGGTCGTATTTGCCGGAAACGATGAATTTTCATTCATCGAAGCCTCCCCTGAGGTCGCTGTTAAAGCTTAAAAAAATAAATCTGGTTGAATGAACAATTAACTTTTGCTTAATTTTCTTGGTAACTATGAGCGATACTCATTAATCACATTAAAGATTAAGGTCACTGGTGAATAAAGGGTTTGAAGGTCATTTGAAGGTGTTTGAATAAAATCAATTCTCGAAAAATATTCGCGTAGTTTTACCTGAAAGGTTTGATTAGTGTCCTAAATGAAACTAATTGCTAATTGTTAGCTGGAATTGTTGTGGTCATGAGACCTTCAAATGACCTTTTCGAGAGAATCGAGAAAATTTGAGTCAAATTAGCTGAATTACTGGTCATTGTAATCACTTTTCTATGGTTAATTGTTTGCCCTCCGTAAAATTGTAACTTAAATTGTTGATCATATTCATCGATTGTGTTAATCATTTCAATTTGATTTGAAAGAAAATTTCTGTTTTTGATTAACAGTCAAACAGATCAATTAGTTCAAATAAATGATTGTTAATTGATTAATTAGGTAACTCTTTCAATTGTTTTTGATTAAGTTTCTAATTGAAATGAAAAAACAAAATGAAATCAATTAGCAATCAATTAGATGGTAAATTGTTGACTATGATTTTCAATGGATAATAATTAGTTAATTACAACCACAATTAAGCTACTATTAATTGTTATGATATGAGATAAACATAAATATACTACAAACTAATAAATCAAATAGGTTTAAAAAAGTTAATTGTTGCCATTAATTAGATTTACTAATTGTCTTGATCAAACCGATACACTTGATTATTCATTTGAAACAATTTATCACTCTGTAAGTATAATTAAGATAAATATTCATTTTTGTTGTATCAATCATAATCAGATAATTGATTAATTAATTTCAATAATAATAATAATCTTAACTGATTGAAGACAACTGAATTAGATTTATCATTAATTGTATAAACAAAGTTAATGATTAAATAATGAGGAAAGTTAATTAAATCAAAAGTCGCTATTTATTCAATCAATTTAGTTAACTAATAATATAACAATCAGTTGATATTGACAGAGATTTTGATTAAGCTTTGGTCATCACTATGATTTATTAAATTGATATCAACAATAATCAAGAGTAAAACAATCACAATTAAGGATAATTGCTGAGATTGCAATTTAATAACATTATGAAACACATAACCAATTAATTGTGATTAACAAAAAGACAAGTCAAAATGGTGATTACAATTAATTATTTACCCAATTTGAAGTCAAGTTCAACTCGCCATCGTATTCAAATTAAGACAATCGACTAATTAAACAATAACAATTTAATAGAATCTCACAAATTGTTACAATCAATTCATCAGAAAAATCAATCGTCAATCAGAATTTCCAATTCAATGGTAAATAACAATTAAGATTTACTTTGTTTTTAGAGTATAACTGTTCAGCTAATCGTTCATGACCAATGATATTAAATTGTTACAATAAAATCAGTGAATTGTCAACAATTGAAAAAAACAAAGTTCGAGATAAAAAAAGATGAGGATGAAAAAGACTAATAATAAAGACAAAATAATCGATATAAAATAATATTCTAAAGTAGTTCTAATATTATTTCAATTCGATGTTCAATTGTCTTAGATTAGAAATCAATGTTGACCCAAACCATTTAGTTGACCATTTGTAATCATCTTAAATTTGAAATAACATTTAGCAAGAAACCAATGATTTCAGCATCATCAACCACCACGAAACATCATCATCACCTCATCCCCTTAGCATTAAAGTGACGATGATGATTATCTGAAAATAACTCCAAGAATTACATGATAAAAATGAAGATAAACTTGAAGAAATGAAACAAAATTGAGTAACTTAAAGCCTCAGGAGAAGTGAATTATTTTTATAATGAACTTTTGTTTCAAATCACTTTTCAGTCCAACTCTTTCCCAGAGCATCTGATGACCATAACGATAATGAAAATGACCGGAACTTTACTCAGATTTCATTCTTATCCTTCCCTGAGAATTTACTCAGAATTTATTTATCTTCTTCTTCTTCTTCTTCTTATCATCTACTACCTCATATTCCTCATCATTGTTCATCCAAATGATACAACGAAACATTTTCCTTCCAATTCCTATTATAATCATTATACTTTTTCCTTTTCATGATAATATTTTTTTTTCTTTTTTTTTCTCACTCCTTCCTATTCAATTCCATGATTTATCATGTCTTTGTATCACCTTGTTAATCTATCATTTAATTCTGATCACTTGAATGATGTTAATATCTAATAATCATCATCTTCGTTTTCATTTTTTTTTCTCTCTCTCTCTATTCATGATTCTATTTACTGATTCATTTCATGAACTTTTTTGTTTCTATTCAATTCTTTAATCATTCATCTTGTTATTCTGGTGATTTTTATATATACTATTTGATTGGCTATCTGATTGATTGGATGGTTACCTATTTGACAGTAATTATCATTTGAAATTCAGAATAGACACAAGAATTCATTCATGTGAATCATACTGAATATTATATTCTTTTCATGTTGATGGGAAAATATTATCTGCAAATATTGAGAAAACAAATTACAAACAATATACTGATGGATATTCAATTCAATTCTGATTGAAAAGTGATTGAGATTCGCATTTCTTATATAAGAAATTTGTTCACACCCCAAATCTAAATCATGGTTATGATAAAATAGAAAAAGAGAAATGTTAACATTCCCATAATCATATGAACCATTTCAACATGATATATATATGAACATCATGATGAAAGATGATGAAAGATAAGGTTAAGATGATAAATTGTCAAGGAGAAACAAAAAATCATCATCATCATCATCATCGTAACCACGTAAGGTTACCCATTGAAAGATCTGTGATTCTTTAGCAATGCTTTTCATTTTTTTCACCATTTCAGTTTCACTTTGATTTTCAGAGTCTTCAGAATTCATATTATTATTATTAATACTTTGATTGATATTGATAATAGTTGATCCAATAGTCTAACGATCATGATGAGTATCATCATCATCTTAGATTCATGAATGTAAGTGGATAAGCGTGACCATTGGAACAAGATATCGGGACAGAATGATGAATTTTCTGTTGCCGATAATTCCAGTGATTCTGATTGAAACTGATTCCATGAACATACTGAACCAATCAATCGGTATTAATAATCTACAGATAAGAATATTTCTCTTTGCACGAATAATCTTTCAAACTTTTCTCTCTTTTCTCTCTTTTTCATTCATCTATTTTTTTTTCATCACTGAGAATTCCTTTTATCTTCTGTTATCATGATAATATTTCTCTGATTCATTCCTTCAACCATCATGATATTATCTTGACTTTTCAAGGTTCCACAGATCAGATTATTCTGTTTACATTGTAAGCTCCATTTCTATACAATATGATACACCCAAACCCTTTTAATTAAGATAATTGAATTCTCAGAATTTCACATTTTAATTTGAAAACTTTTCGATGATCAATTGTGGAGATAAATTCTGATTGATCAGTAATAATCAGTTAATCATTGAGAGGAAAAAATTCTGATTTTCATCAAACGTTTTCCAGGAATTTTCCTATTTTCATATGATAATTAAATAATCTCTCAGCATTTTGGATACATTAACTTTTTATTCATTTCGATTACATGAGATTGATTTTCTCATGAATCCAGAATTTTATCGAATTTGCTTGATTGTGAACAATTGTTTTCCATCAATTTATTAGACAATTATCATCATCATTTTCTACTTCAACTTGTATTACCAAATTACTGTGACAATTAATTTACTTTCATTTGATTGGTTTGGTTGAATTTTTTTTTCTCTTCAATAAGAAAATGGTTCAATTGAAACGAGTCACAATTTAGAAATCATATTGTAATCATGATGTTTAAGAATCGAGAAAAATATAAAGTCACTCAGAAATACTCGATGAATTTATTCACCAAACCATATGAGAGAGACTCTATTAGGACCAATTGAGTTATTCCTTTGGTAAACTTATTACTTTTTCCTAAGATTTATCTTCATGAGATTTTCTCATTTCATCATTTTTTTCCATGATCATGATGAATAAATGGTTTCTCTTACTTACCTCATCTCCACCCTGAGTCTCTTCCCTGTTGTTTTCATTCATTTTGCTGATAAAACTATAAAATAAGATGAAATCTCATCATTATGTTATAATTTAGTGACAATGTCAACCGAATTGAACCAAAAACAAAAGCTCGAACTGTGGTCCAAATTATTGTTGACTCAACTTGAACATTATGATGAAACTT